AGATCGATGCACATAGAATATTATTTGCATGCGTTCCTATGTGCAATGGGGATGCTTTGTACATGTAAACATGATAAACATGCATGTACATATGTATATATGTATGTATATAGAAGCTAGCTAGCAGCTATTTAGAAGCTATTCAGTTCAGTAACTATTTGGAAGCTATTTAGCAGCTAGCTAGCAGCTATTTAGAAGCTATTCAGCAACTATTTGGACGCTATTTAGCAGCTATTTAGCACCTATTTAGTAGTTATTCAGCAACTATTTGGAAGCTATTTAGCAGCTAGCTAGCAGCTATTTAGAAACTATTCAGCAACTATTTGGAAGCTATTTAGCAGCTAGCTAGCAGCTATTTAGAAGCTATTCATCAACTATTTGGAAGCTATTTAGCAGCTATTTAGCACCTATTTACTAATTATTCAGCAACTATTTGGAAGCTATTTAGCAGCTAGCTAGCAGCTATTTAGAAGCTATTCAGCAACTATTTGGAAGCTATTTACAAGCTAGCTAGCAGCTATTTAGAAGCTATTCAGCAACTATGTGAAAGCTATTTAGCAGCTAGCTAGCAGCTATTTAGAAGCTATTCAGCAACTATGTGAAAGCTATTTAGCAGCTAGCTAGCAGCTATTTAGAAGCTATTCAGCAACTATTTGGGAACTATTTTGCAGCTAGCTAGCAGCTATTTAGAAGCTATTCAGCAACTATTTGGAAGCTATTTAGCAGCTAGCTAGCAGCTATTTAGAAGCTATTCAGCAACTATTTGGAAGCTATTTAGCAGCTATTTAGTAGTTATTCAGCAACTATTTGGACACTATTTAGCAGCTAGCTAGCAGCTATTTAGAAGCTATTCAGCAACTATTTGGAAGCTATTTAGCAGCTATTTAGCAGCTATTTAATTCAAAAGCTATTCAGAACTATGGAAGCTATTTAAGCACCTATCTAGTAGTATTCCAGAACTATTTGGAAGCTGTTTAGCAGTTGCGAGCAGCTAGCTAGCAGCTATTTAGAAGCTATTCAGCAAGTATTTGGAAGCTATTTAGCAGCTATTTAGAAGCTATTCAGCAACTATTTGGAAACTATTTAGCAGCTAGCTAGCAGCTATTTAGAAGCTATTCAGCAAGTATTTGGAAGCTATTTAGCACCTATTTAGTAGTTATTCAGCAACTATTTGGAAGCTATTTAGCAGCTAGCTAGCAGCTATTTAGAAGCTATTCAGCAACTATGTGAAAGCTATTTAGCAGCTAGCTAGCAGCTATTTAGATGCTATTCAGCAACTATTTGGAACCTATTTAGCAGCTAGCTAGCAGCTATTTAGACGCTATTCGGCAACTATTTGGAAGCTGTTTAGCAACCTGTTTTAGTAGGTTATCAGCAAAGATTTGAAAAAAACTATTTAGAAGCTATTAGCAGCTAGCTAGCAGCTATTTAGAAGCTATTCAGCAACCATTTGGACACTATTTAGCAGCTAGCTAGCAGCTATTTAGAAGCTATTAAGCAACTATTTGGAAGCTATTTAGCAGCTAGCTAGCAACTATTTAGAAGCTATTCAGCAACTATTTGGAAGCAGCTATTTAGAAGCTATTCAGCAACTATTTGGAAGCTATTTAGCAGCTAGCTAGCAGCTATTTAGAAGCTATTCAGCAACTATTTGGAAGCTATTTAGCAGCTAGCTAGCAGCTATTTAGAAGCTATTCAGCAACTATTTGGAAGCTGTTTAGCAGCTATTTAGTACCTATTGAGTAGTTATTCAGCAACTATTTGGAAGCTATTTAGCAGCTAGCTAGCAGCTATTTAGAAGCTATTCAGCAACTATTTGGAAGCTATTTAGCACCTATTTATCAGTTATTCAGCAACTATCTGGAAGCTGTTCAGCAGCTTGCTAGCAGCTAGCTAGCAGCTATTTAGAAGCTATTCAGCAACTATTTGGGAGCTATTTAGCAGCTAGCTAGCAGCTATTTAGAAGCTATTCAGCAACTATTTGGACACGATTTAGCACCTATTTAGTAGTTATTCAGCAACTATTTGGAAGCTATTTAGCAGCTAGCTAGCAGCTATTTAGGAGCTATTCAGCAACTATTTGGAAGCTATTTAGCACCTATTTAGTAGTTATCCAGCAACTATTTGGAAGCTATTTAGCAGCTAGCTAGCAGCTATTTAGAAGCTATTCAGCAACTATTTGGAAGCTGTTTAGCAGCTAGCTAGCAGCTATTTAGAAGCTATTCAGCAAGTATTTGGAAGCTATTTAGCAGGTATTTAGTAGTTATTCAGCAACTATTTGGAAGCTATTTAGCAGCTAGCTAGCAGCTATTTAGAAGCTATTCAGCAACTATTTGGAAGCTATTTAGCAGCTATTTAGCACGTTTTTGCACCTATTTAGTAGTTATTCAGCAACTATTTAGAAGCTATTTAGCAGCTAGCTAGCAGCTATTTAAAAGCTATTCAGCAACTATTTGGACACTATTTAGCAGCTAGCTAGCAGCTATTTAGAAGCTATTCAGCAACTATTTGGAAGCTATTTAGCAGCTAGCTAGCAACTATTTAGAAGCTATTCAGCAACTATGTGAAAGCTATTTAGCAGCTAGCTAGCAGCTATTTAGAAGCTATTCAACAACTATGTGAAAGCTATTTAGCAGCTAGCTAGCAGCTATTTAGAAGCTATTCAGCAAGTATTTGGAAGCTATTTAGCAGCTATTTAGTAGTTATTCAGCAACTATTTAGAAGCTATTTAGGAGCTAGCTAGCAGCTATTTAGAAGCTATTCAGCAACTATTTGGAAGCTATTTAGCAGCTAGCTAGCAGCTATTTAGAAGCTATTCAGCAACTATTTGGAAGCTATTTAGCAGCTATTTAGCACGTTTTTGCACCTATTTAGTAGTTATTCAGCAACTATTTAGAAGCTATTTAGCAGCTAGCTAGCAGCTATTTAGAAGCTATTCAGCAACTATTTGGACACTATTTAGCAGCTAGCTAGCAGCTATTTAGAAGCTATTCAGCAACTATTTGGAAGCTATTTAGCAGCTAGCTAGCAACTATTTAGAAGCTCTTCAGCAACTATTTGGAAGCTATTTAGCAGCTATTTAGCACCTATTTAGTAGTTATTCAGCAACTATTTGGTAGCTATTTAGCAGCTAGCTAGCAATTTAGAAGCTATTCAGCAACTATTTGGAAGCTATTTAGCACCTATTTAGTAGTTATTCAGCAATTCTTTGGAAACTATTTAGAAGCTAGCTAGCAGCTATTTAGAAGCTATTCAGCAACTATTTGGGAGCTATTTCGCAGCTAGCTAGCAGCTATTTAGAATCTATTCTGCAAGTAAAGGAATTAAATGAATTTAAAGGGGTTTTAAAGGGATTCAAAGGAATTTAAATGACGTTTAAAGGAATTTTAAGGGAATTTCAAATAATTGAAAGGAATTGGAAGTCCCATGTCATGGGGTAATTTTTTTTTCAGAATTTAGAGGAATTTTAAAATATTTTTTTAAATAAGGAATGGGAATGATTTTAAAAGAATTTGAAGGAATTTAACGAATTTTTGTAAAGCAAAATAAGGAATTGGAAGTCCCATGTCATGTGGTAAATTCGTCTTTTAATTTTAAGGAATTTAAAGGAATCTAAAGGAATTTTGTGGTTTTTGGTTATTTGATTTCTATATTCAAATTGTTACAAAACATTGCAGTTAGAATATGTTTTAACAGTCCTGTAGCAAACAATCAACCTTTATATATAATATTGTTGGAATTTTAAAGGAATTTGAAGGAATTTAAATAAATTTAAAGGAATTTGAAAGGAATTTAAAGGAATTTCAAGGAATTTTAAAGGAATTTAAAGGAATTCAAAGGAATTTAAATGACTTTTAAAGGAATTTTAAGGGAATTTCAAGGAATTGAAAGGAATTGGAAGTCCCATGTCATGTGGTAAATTCGTCTTTTAAGGAATTTAAATGAATTTAAATGCATTTAAAGGTATTAAAAAAATAAGGAACTGGACGTCCCATGTCATGTGGTGAATTCTTTTTTTAAGGAATTTTAAGGACTTTAAATAATTTTAAGGAATTTAAAGGAATTTAAAGGAATTTTGGTGGTTTTTGGCTATTTGACTTCTATATTCAAATTGTTTCAAAACATTGCAGTTAGAATATTTTTTAACAGTCCTGTAGCAAACAATCAAATACAATCAACCTTTATATATAATATTGTTGGCACGCCAGCATTGTTGGCTACCAACTAACTATTAATATAAATGTGTCAGCATTGTTGGCTACCAAATATCGATTTATATATATATGTATATATATATAAACTAAACCATTCTTGATTCCACTTAGAATATTATGGAGTCTCAAGCCAGGGCTTGCTTTGCGAAAAAAAATGGGGGTGTTTCACAATTTTGATGCACTTAGAATATTCTCAAGATCAGTATACATCTAAAATCATATAATTTTTGAATATTCTATCTGCATATCCAGGCTTGCACTTAGAATATTCTCAGCAGGGAGCCCGCAGCTAATTAATTTGGCTGGAAGTTGATTGACTTATTATTCTAAGTGCGGGTCCTCTAGTATATATATATATATAATCATCCACAAGTGATCATAAGTGGAGAAGAAAAACGACAACTATGGAAGATCTTCGAGGTGTACAGGTCCCCCAAGTGTAAGAATTACCCATCTCCTCGTTTATCTCCCTGTTTTTCGGAGATCGTGAGTCCCGATGGGCCATCGTGCCTGTTGTTTCTTTTAAAAGCATTGATTTTGGACGAGCCGAGGCATTCCAGAGAATTCCAGTGCTGTTTCTGCAGTTTAGCAACCTGAGGGCTTTGCACAAGGAAAACAGCGGCAGACACGGCGGGGTCTACCGGGAAGACCTGACTAAGTAGCAATGAGCCTGAAACCATCAGCATCCGATTCCGAAAACATGACAGAGATCTCAGCAATTATGCCACTCTATGCCGCTCTATGCCACCGCTCTGATGCTGGCTTACCGGCTTCGCAGCTGCTCCGTTTCTCAGACATCAAGCAGTGTTCTCTCACTCTGGAAGCGTTATTCATCCAAGCTAAGTCATCAATCAATTGAAGCAACAATGAAATGAGAACAATGACAATTGCAGAAGAAGAAAATGTGAAATAACCTGAATGCTTGCAATGCTTGCTGGATTTAAAGTATGTACGACAGTTTCAGTCAACATCAATAAGCTCTCTCAGTATCCTCACTCTCCGATGGCACGCTGATCTTCGTCTCGGGCCTTACCGCCTAATTCGGTGCCATGCAGGGCATCATAGCCAGTTGGCCAATTGATGAAGCCACCTGTGTTCCAGACCTCATTGCCCTTCTCTAGCAAAGCAAAATCAAAGACATCCTTCACATCCGGGTCAATAGGATTGATCTCGGCACCCTCTTCTGGAAGCTCGTACAGGACTCTCACCAACATGAAGATCTGGTCACACTCACCACAACGGTACAAGAAACCCTCACGGCAGCGGAACCAAAGAGGGACATGCTCATTGTCACCGGTGCCGCCAGTGCATCCAACAACACGCTCAGTGTGGATGGCGGGGACCAGCACAGGGTTTTCGATGGTTCCAAAGGGCCCAATGAATGGTGAAGACTTCAGGTACTCGTAAAGCTCAATGACACCGAGGATGTTTTCTGCAGCCTCGTTCACAATTGTCAGGCCCATGTCACGGCAAAGCTGCTTGTAAGACTTCTTCGGCAGATTTTCTGGATCCATGATGGTGCTTTCAGCACGAATCCTCCAGTACCAGTAAGCATCAATGAACCCCAAGTTGTAAGGGTTGCTGGCCATCAAAGACTTCACATCCTTTGGCATAGACTCAGTGTTCAGCTCAAAGTCCTCAGGCAGAACACGCCACCAATGGCGGTAGCCACGCCTGGCCTCCAGCTGACATGCTGCTGGCACCGACTGCCAGACTTGTGGCGCTTGGGCACGGCCGGCCCGGCCAGCCGCCGTGCCCAGAGCGCCCACCGCGCGGCGAGCCACGCCCAGCATCACGGGGCGCACGTTGCCGACGCCAGGCCGCGGCGTAACGCGACCAGGGGAGCTGGAAGCGTCGGGCTGGGCCCAGCAGCGGAACAGAAAATGCGGTGACCACAATTTCTCATGAAGTTGTAGCTTTGAGCGATTAGTTGATTTCATGCAATTTTATGAGGCAGTGCTACTAGTCATGAAGCTAATCTCACGGTACATGTGGCATACATGTCAGACCTCTCTCACATCTACAGAAGAATGCAGATTCATACACTTAAGTCGAGTATCATTTCAGCCCTCTCAAAATGCACGCTCAACTCAACTCATGTTAACATTAACACTGCGAGGGTCAACCACAAAAACAGAGTTTTTTTCCCATCTTCCTCTGTCGCAGAACGTCTTCCTAAAAACCTCTCAATGTATCATCTCAGTAGCTGAAGCGCGACAAGGGCGTGGTCAACGGCCAAAGAAGCGGCAGATTTGTGGTGTCCTCACTCTCCGATGGCACGCTGATCTTCGTCTCGGGCCTTACCGCCTAATTCGGTGCCATGCAGGGCATCATAGCCAGTTGGCCAATTGATGAAGCCACCTGTGTTCCAGACCTCATTGCCCTTCTCTAGCAAAGCAAAATCAAAGACATCCTTCACATCCGGGTCAATAGGATTGATCTCGGCACCCTCTTCTGGAAGCTCGTACAGGACTCTCACCAACATGAAGATCTGGTCACACTCACCACAACGGTACAAGAAACCCTCACGGCAGCGGAACCAAAGAGGGACATGCTCATTGTCACCGGTGCCGCCAGTGCATCCAACAACACGCTCAGTGTGGATGGCGGGGACCAGCACAGGGTTTTCGATGGTTCCAAAGGGCCCAATGAATGGTGAAGATTTCAGGTACTCGTAAAGCTCAATGACACCGAGGATGTTTTCTGCAGCCTCGTTCACAATTGTCAGGCCCATGTCACGGCAAAGCTGCTTGTAGGACTTCTTCGGCAGATTTTCTGGATCCATGATGGTGCTTTCAGCACGAATCCTCCAGTACCAGTACGCATCAATGAACCCCAAGTTGTAAGGGTTGCTGGCCATCAAAGACTTCACATCCTTTGGCATAGACTCAGTGTTCAGCTCAAAGTCCTCAGGCAGAACACGCCACCAATGGCGGTAGCCACGCCTGGCCTCCAGCTGACATGCTGCTGGCACCGACTGCCAGACTTGTGGCGCTTGGGCACGGCCGGCCCGGCCAGCCGCCGTGCCCAGTGCGCCCACCGCGCGGCGAGCCACGCCCAGCATCACGGGGCGCAACGCGACCCTGCGTGCTGCCTACTCTACACAGCACTGGAGCAGAGCAGCTCGTCGAGTATCAACTGGATCGTCGATGATGTTTGTGTCCACCATAAGTGATGCTTGGTAGATTCTTTCCCATCTACAAGTTGAAGACACTGTGGAATGTGATGATCACAAGTTTGACGTGTGGATGTGTTTTGCAGATTTTGAGCTTGTCTGCGGCCTTTTTCGATGCTATCTGCGCTGTCCACAGCAGCGTGTTGGCCATGGGCTGGTGAGGGCACCCCACAACAAACTCCATGTGCTTCAATTCCTGATCATCTAAAACCCATGGGCACACTGATCAAAATCACAATTTAGTATCCGAACATCCGAACTCTTTCGAAAAAGAAAATGCCCTGTTCACTCAATCTGTATGAAAACATTTGGTGGAAGCATCTACGCCAGCCGTTGTCCCATTCGGTAATCCAACCGAGCTTTGTACATCCGCGAGCTTTGCGCGGCCCTCACAGCTCCTTGGAACCACGCTTTGCCTGGGGAGTCAAGCATTCCTCTAGATGTGGATGATCAATGGATGGGCCCTTTCAACATATTTATGTAGATATTTGTCTATAAATTAATAGATATAGATATAGATATAGATATAGAAGGAATGTATACTGATATTGTATTTCACACTATTTCGGGGAACCAGCAAGTTGCCATGATGAATGTCCCATTCATCATATTTTTTTTGTTTTTTCTTGAGGGTCTTGTTGATTTCAGGCCGTGAGTCCGATCACACCACCTGAGAACCGCCGGTACGACTTAGCCAGCATGGATTATCATGGATGATCCATCCCAGTGAAACAAATGAAGGTTTACACCTTTAAAATCCTTTAAAGATGTCAGAAGCCATTCCCCAAAACTACTTCTTTTTCCATCGGAAATCTGGCCGAACAGCAGAAGCCAGGGCCCCAAACCCTGCATTTCGTGGGCTTCGGCCAACCCTTTTGCAGTTTTCCAAGGTGACCCTGGACGGAAACCACAGAAACTACAATCCAACTCACATCAAGTCTCAAGCAGCAGATCTCATGGAGCAGGTTGGTTCAAGACGTCCCAACTCCAGTGGTTTTGTGAAATTTAATTTTCTTATGGCTTCAGCGGCTTCTTTTCATGTTCCTCCTGATTTCATGACCGGAGCTGAAAGTCGACCGGCCTTTTTGGGCTCCCAGCCCCAAGTGCAGTCGGCAAAGGTCGGTGGAGCTGCCTGATACACACGACTGGGTATGGCTACCCATTTCTGGACAAACCCCAAGGGATGAAAAATTCGCTACAAGAACAGCAACCTGCTCACAACTTGTCTCGAACTTGGCAGGACGCCAATACCTCGAGATTGTCAGTGCGGCGTCAATGCGGAGCGATGCCAAAGGTGTGATGATATGTTTTAAGTATCTGTGGAGTGTGATGTTCGATACTACTTTTCTCCTCACTCTCCACTTCCATGACATTTCAGTCTGCGGTTCCATTCTCTTTTCTGATGGCTCTAGACTCTAGAACTTTCTCATGCTCCCAGCGTTGAGCTGTGGCTGTGGCCCCGTACCAAATATGAACGTTGATGGACCGGCCGGGGTGGGCCGTCACTTGATGATACCTGGGCAAACCAACATCCACATCCAAACACCATGGGACTTTGGAAGTGGGTGCCAGTGCCAGGCTTCCCTGCCATTGGTACGGGATATACAAACCTCAACGCTCCAGCAAGACGGCAACATGGCGAGAAAGGAAGTCTGCTGCCAGGAAGCAATCGCCGGGCTTCAAATCTGCGTAGCTCCACTTCACATCCTTCCAGCCAGGATACCTGTCCAACCAACGCCTGCTGTCATCTGCCATAGATTCTTAGATACATTTTGCACATGCTGATGATCATCATGATCACCTTCAAAAATGCCATGAATTCTCACTGTTCATGACTTTTCTGAGTTTTCCACGTAATTTTTCACAACCCATGAAGCTTCTCCGAAACGGGTCACTTGATGAGGTCCATGCGGTCCACATCAATCCGTCCCATGAAGGCGCCATAACCAGGCAGAGACCTCCAGGAAAATATGCAGAAAATGTATTATTTATGTGGATTTATACAATCCAAATGATTCCAAAATGTATATGAAGTGATGTAACAGCTATATCTTTGTATCCATTTATGCAATTTTATGCATATGTTTGGTGGTTCGATCATTATACACGTGATGAACATCCAGGGGTTGTCACGTCCCAAGAAATCTGAAGAAATGTCCGACTGCATCCGCACGATTTTGGACCATGCTGTCGCACGCTGCAACGGACCAATGCTTCTTCACCTGACAGCGGGAATCCAATTTGAAAAAACAAACCAACAATGACAAAATGTGTCATATAAATATCATATAAATATCATAACTCAGAACTTTTCACAAAACCATCATTGAGGTTTCCTAGGTGTCCTTTTCTCATCTTTTCTCCCCTGACCCACCAATTCTCAGCAGATCACAAGCTCTTGGCGAAGTCGTGGAATTCCGCCGCCGCGCCCTTGGCGGCCACAGTGAGCATCTGCATGTCACTGCCAACCGCCACAAAGGCGCATCCACACCTGGGCACAGCTGGTGAATCCCAAGAAAAAGATTGAAGGATCTCCAGAACAGGGAGCTACTTCTATCACTTCATCAAAGTTTGTCTCAGTGGTTTTTCCCATTAGGTGATGTCCCAGTGGTCTTGTCTCTGTCCGACAAAATCCCTGGGTGTCCCTGCTTCAACGCCCATTTGGCATCATCCTTGTTAGCCGTCAGGAAACCCGCAGCCTGCCCAGGACCGGACGAATGTGGGGATAAACCTCCGGCGATACCATTTTGGGGATATTTGGGGATGGTTTATTGGGCGTACTACATAGTCACATATCATATCATATCATATCATATCATATCATATCATATCATACATATCATACATATCATACATATCATACATATATATTTATATATAAACTATGTGACATATCGAACTTTTATATAGAAACTGCTATTATAGTCACATATCAATGGGCTATTAATGCCATTCTGTTCATCAAGCCTCACTGCAACTGGCCTTCCCAGTGGCCACAATCCGCGCAAAGGCCTTCTCGATGGTCGCCTTCACCTGGCACCGGCACCGCAATCGTGGTGCAGGGGTCACCGGGGGAACTCAGCTGGCCTCTGGGTGTTGGGGCTGCCCAATGTAGCCTCAGATGACGGAAAATCAGAAAGCTCTGGAAGCCATCCGGTGTATATAATCAACCGATCATCCGTGAAATCACCCATAAAATCTTCCCTACTCACCCATGGAATCATCCCCAAAAAAAAACAAAACATCATCCACAAATCATCCATGAAAATGAAAGCGACATGTTTTTTAAACAGCGCTCAGCCACCCATGGAGGCACTCAGGTCGCTGGGGCCAACGAAGAGGGCATCCACTCCATCCACTTGGGCAATGGCCTGGAATTGGATCTCCAATGACAACTATTAATTTGGTAATATTATATATATATATTATATATAATTGGATGATAATAATTCCAATTGGTTATGAATTTCATATATTAATTTGGAGGTTATTAATATATGATAAATCAAATGAATGGTATAAAGTATAAATGGTATAAATTAATTGAAGTTGTTCTACATCTTTTGGGTGGCTATTAATAGCTACTGATTATATACAACTTTCTCGCATACATGATGTGAGCCCTCTGAATTAGGAGTACATTGAGTACATCATGACTGATCATTGGAGACGAACTTCTGCGGGATTGCTATGTGTCAAAGCCCGGTTTTCAGCCCTGGTTTTCACTCAAAAATAGCTGGAATGTTGGAAGTTCATGCCCCCAGGATGGTTTACCAAACATAGCTACCTTGATCCACATATCCTCCAGATGAACACTGACCTGGCGAGACCGGCCTCGATATTCTCGACTGCCTCCACAGTCTCAATCTGCATGATGTTGCCTAAGGCCCATGATCAAGGGTGGCACCTCGTGGGTGCTCCAAGCCATCATATATTGCTGGTTATCAGCCACTTTTTGACGCTTATTGCCTATCATATTGCTGGTACTCACCTTTGTCCTTGTTTTTGGGTTGATCTTAGTTGATCAAACACACTGGTGCCAGTTGGTCATCTGCTGCTCGAGGGGCAGATTTGTCCGGCAGCCTCCTGTGCGTGGTTTCACATAGTGAACCTTGGACCTAAGAGAAACAAATGTACATCCCGATGTTTAGGAACCATGACATGAGGACATCATGATTGCAAAACATCAGCGAACCGTCATGTGAGTCCAATGAGTCTTCCAGTGCGCCTTGTAGTAATGCGGATTCTGCGCTCCATAGTTGTTCATTCGAGCCAGGCTCATGACCTTCAGCAGTGGCATTCCCACTGAACCATGGTTGAAAAAAATGGCGGATGCAACAGTTTCTGATGGCAACTACTCACATCGCAATTTGATGTTTGTTTCAGTCCAGCTCGTTGCATCCCGAGATGGCAACGCCGCGGATCCCGCCCAAGCTTGGATAGCGCGTTGCCTCGTTTGATGGGGATCCCAACATTCAGACATGGGTACCCTCTGGTTATGTCAAAATAGCTATTGAAAATGGCCATTTATAGTGGATTTTACCATTAAAAATGGTGATTTTCCATAGTTATGTTAGTTTACCAGAGGGTACTCTGTATGGCTCCGATTCCAACCACAACTGGCTACCAATTTCTCCCAATGGGTGGGGGCGCCTGCACGGCCTCTTGCGCTTGTTCGGGCGTGTTGATCCAAGGGAAGATCAAGCCTTGTTGAGCAGTGGCTGACGTCACATGATGGATATTGGATGATCCCCATGTTCGATGGTGTAACAGTGTAACCTCCTATCAACCAACAGGACTATTGAACACTGCGCAAGTGATTTCATGGAAGACTCCAAGGAAAACAGGATAGCAGCATCTACTGACAACGGGGTTGTAGTCTGATGTAGTGTAAATGTTGATTCTGAACCATGTCTACCACAGCAGGTTTTTGCAATATTTCATCATGTTTAATAACTTATCTCAAAATGTGGAGCCTCCAAATCGCGTACTTCCTCATCTTTATCTTCATCACCACCACCACCATTATTAATAATGATAGTAATATCTAGTAATTAGTAATAGCTAAATAACAATACAGTAAAAATCATCATATCATAGTCATCATCCTGACTGAAAGTTGGGCATCCGTGCTCTGGGCGCCCAAATCCAAAACACGTTTCACCACCACAGGCTCCGCCCATGGCACTCGCACCACGGGCTCCGCGGCACCGTGTTGAGATGCCTGCGCCATCACAAGAGCTTATTGGACTCTCAAGGGTTTTCTGCATTTGGAAATATTGGCATACCCACATGCAGTTATTAGATATATTATATTTATGAATATCAATGCAATTCAAGGCAATTCAATACATATCGTGTTTTTTCCTGGTGATTAAACCCCAGGCTGTGTCAGTTTGACCACGGAAACATGTCTTGTCATGTGCCCAGCCTGCAGCTGCAGCAGCACATCGTTCAATTCATTGGGTGAGTGCTCCATATCGATCACGAACCAATCCTGCCCAAAATTGGCAAAATTGGGGCACCCCCAAAAGTTGGTCATTAAACTCATGAAAGATATATACTAAATTTCTATCAAAATTGATAAAAACAAGGTTCTTTTGGGCCAAGATTTTGATCCATGGCATGGGTAGACACTGGTACTGGAAAAAAAAAAACTACACTCCACACTGGAAAAAAAAATAAGAATCTGTACCTTGAACCTTTTTGCAGCTGAAATCTCTTATTTGTACAATATGTGCAGGGTTTGGGCACTTAAACACGCAATTGCATGATATTTAAAGCGGTTTGGCCTTGAATAATTCAATTTTGTGCAGCTGAAATCTGGTTGTTGATCAAAATTCCTTTATCCCGGAACGGCCATTCTTCGCGAATAAAAATTTTACTTTCGCGAAACTTTCGCGAACTCCATGTTTATCTTTCGCGGGGCCCATGTTGGCCAACAACACCTCTTATGAAGATTCGTTCACCACCTGCCAAATTACGCCAGAGAATCACGGATCACTTCTTGGTAGCCTTTTAAACATGCAGCTAGCATCACGGAATCCCTTCTCAGGACAGATTTTTTTTTGCAAAGTTTACTGGCCCACCCCCTTCAACATGCACTTTGACTTTCGCCCGCTCTTTCGCATAACTTTCGCGGAACTTTCGCGAAAATATCCCTATTCACAGACCCCGGCCATCAGCAGGGGGTGCACTGAAGGAAAAGCGAAGACCAGGGGCCTTGGTGTTTGGCTCTCGCAAAGCCTCACTTTTGGAAACTTGGCTACTGCTACTCGCATTCTCTGGTGCCCTTTTCCTGCCGGACCCCGGGCGGCAGTGGGTGGCAGCCCTGATTATAATACAGCGAAACTTTCGCGAAATTTTTACTTTCGCGAATTCTTTCGCGAGGGTTTCCAACATAACATGCACGGCTTTCGCAATTTCCTTACAAGGACCTTTATCGATCACCATCTCTTATTTGTACAATTTTGCAGGGTTTTGGAATTAATTATGCAATTTGCATTTAAATGTATTTAAAGCGCTTTGGCCTTGAATCCCTTGTTTGCACCGTGCTCGCAGCATCTTGGAGCCAGCATCTGTACTATGCAGGGGATTATCTGCAGCATTTCGTGTTATTTGCAAAATATTGTCTAGAATTAGTTTTTGGATTTATTTCAGGTCGGTTAGGGTGCATTTGGGAGATCAAAGGATGAGAAGGGTAAAGGACCAGGATGAGGAGGGTAAGGGACCAGGGGATCAAGAGGACCCAGGGACCAGGGGACCAAGGGACCAGGGGACCAAGGGACGAAAGGACCAGGGGACCAACGGATCCGGGGAACCTTAAATTGTTTTGCCGAAAAAAATATTTTTTTCCAAGGTCTTAGATTTTTTTCCAGGAAACGTAGATTTTTTTTCCAGTATCATCCCCCATGGCACATCCAACCAGCTCCAGCCGTCAACAGCCAAACACCAGCGCTCCATGCCCGAGACGTGGGACAACATCTCTGCCACCAACCTGGAGATGGCAAGGGCCAAGTAAAGTCTGTTGCAAGTTACATATGACGTGGCAAATCATAGCACATCGTATCATATGCTATGTATGTATATGTATCTATACATAAACATCATATATGTTCTTTTGGGATGATAATTCATCTAAACATTCATTCTAGGCTGAGGTCGGGCATCTCCTGGTGCCAGGTGCCCCAGCGTGTTGCGCAGCCCAGTCCACAAGCCGATCTGCTTGCGCTCGGTCTTCAATACCTGGCTCCCTTGGAGATCCCTAGGGGGATCCCCAATGGGTGTCATATCGATGCCGCATGGGATATGGTGCCGGGGATTGCAGACTTGTGTCGATTCTATATGATCGATTTTATGAGGTCAAACCAAACAATGGGAAGCATGCGTCGCATGCCTCCTTGAAGACATTCTGTCGAACCTCAGTGGAGCAACCACAATGAAAGTGAGTGGAGATGAGCCTCTGTAGGAGACCTTGTGGGGATCAATGCACCAACCAGTCCAGTAGGAAGTTCAGTGACCATATGTGACCATTCAAGCAGTGAAATGCACTGTCACAAACCAGTCGATTTGAGACGCGCAACTTTGCTTGGATCCGAAAAGTGGCGCTTGCAGGCAAGCAGGGATGCCTACCAGGTCAAAATGTCCAGCAAAGATCAACTAAGTATGTGCAAATACAAAGGATACAGAACGAGATAGATGCAATACAAATGCAATAGATTCAATAGATACAGAACGAGATAGATGCAATAACATGATGTATACATACCTATACATGCGATTCTCATATTCTCGTAAATCACTTCACCACTCGGGACTGTTTCTGCCTCCAGAACCACCATCCCCCTGGAACCTTCCCGGCAATTGCCGCGCTTCTTTGGCGGGCCAATTGCACAGCCAACATCACCTGCAGGGATGAAATTCTCCCTATGTTTGTGCCAGAATTTGCTCTGTGACTTGATCCAAAGCTACGAAAGTTGTAATCAGCTGGGATAGGGATAGAGCCAGGTTAACCACTCCTTCCGTGATTCTGTAGAAGCCAGGCCTGTGGTTAAAGCATGTTAAAGCCACATCCTTCGCATCTTACTTGATTTTCCAGTCCCTTTTTAACGACAAGAACGGCCAAGAACGACCGACCCAAGCTGCCAAAGCAAGCTCTTGGATAGAGGTGATAGCCTGAGAAAGATCTGAAAGCCAAAGCTATAAAGCATACAGCACAACTACACCGACAGTGTGACTACAGAATAGTAAAGTTCATGCGGGCACACCGCCCTTTGCCAGGACCTTCTCTGTGCAACCACAGGAGATCCAGGAAGCCCAATTCCGTGCTGGCAACGCTGAAATTCACGGCTACACCATATCGACGGCGGTGGGCTAAGAAAAAGTCAAAGCTGACATGCAACTCCTGAAGCAAAGCATCAAAGGGCCGTGCAACCATCACCATGCCATTAAAACAACGGCGGGGGCCCGGATCCAAACACAGAAAATTTTGGCCCGGCTGGAGGTTTTTGAGAGGTTCTGGGTTGAGGCGCCAGTCCACGAAAGCTCCACCAAAGTGAGACAGGAGCAAATACTTGGCCGCAAGATGTTTATACTTGCGGAACTGTAGTGACTTTAGTGCCGCGTTCTTGAGTCCATGTGACAACTTTGATAGCCTTTCGCCACTCCAAGCTTCAACACGCCATCCAGGCAACAGTTGAGCCCACTGCATTCTCCGTCGTTCCAAAGCATCATCACATCCGAATGTGTTCCAACATGGCATCACCAAGTGAAGAAGCTTGGGGGCTGCTGGAATCTCTGGAACATGTGACAAATGTGACAATCTTCCGTGGCGTTGGAAGCGTCTGCCATCCTTAAAAGGTTGGTGTGACACCCACTTGTCGAAGGGACGCACGGGCCACGGTGAGGCGCGCTCGTCGCGAACGTTCTCGTAGCCCACAAGGGCCAAGAGCTGGTCCAAATCGTCGCTGCTGGACCTGAATAGTGGGCCCAAGTCGAAAATCTGCTGATGTTTTTCTAAGAAAGTTGGGCAGCAATTTTCCGAGTTACGGATGATTTTTACCTGATGAAGGGTGGTGTGAGACTTTACATCACATAACAATACACTCAAACATAACACTACACGTGTGAGACTTTACATCACATAACAATACACTCAATGAAGGGTGGTGTTAGACTTTACATCACCAAACAATACATGCAATGAAGGGTGGTGTGAGACTTTACATCACATAACACTACACTCAATGAAGGGTGGCGTGAGACTTTACATCACCAAACGATACATGCAATGAAGGGTGGTGTAAGACTTTACATCACCAAAGCATACATGCAAGGAAGGGTGGTGTGAGACTTTACATCACCAAACAATACATGCAATGAAGGGTGGTGTGAAACTTTAAATCACCAAACAATACATGCATGAAGGGTGGTGTGAGACTTTACATCAGAAGTGGGGACGAAGGGAAGTGGTGTGTTTGCAGATCGCTTTGGAATGGCTGCATGATTGTTGTCATCTGGTGTTGCCATGTGCGTAGATACATGCGGGTTAGCCATGTGATGCTGCGAAACGCATTGTAATGGCTGCATGAATGTTGCATGGGCTTCGTTTTGGGGAGGAAGCCAGAGCACGAAAACTTGTGGTTTTCCGTGTAAAGTGGCTGCAGCCTGCGATGAAAGGTACCTCATGTCTGCGGCGGGTGCGGCTGCGGTCGTTCCGAGCGTAATCGGTTCCTCCTCTGTGTTCTGCAAGGAGCGGTTGTTCACGTGTGCCTAGTTCTTTGCGCTTGTTGAATCTCTGCAAGCAGATCGCAGTGTATTGGCTGCATGATTGCTGTTATCTGGTGTTGCCATGTGTGTAGAGATATGCAGGTTTGCTACGTGATGCTGCGAAACGCATTGTAATGGCTGCATGAATGTTGCATGGTTTTTTGGGGGGGAGGCAGCCGGAGCACGAAAACGTTTTTCCGTGTAAAGTGGCTGCAGCCGGCGATGAAAAGGTACCTGTGTGTGCGGCGGGTGCGGCTGCGGTCGTTCCGAGCGTAATCGGTTCCTCCTCTGTGTTCTACAACGAGTGGTTGTTCCTGTGCGTGTAGTTCTATGCGTTTATTGAATCTGCGGTTGCAGATGGCACTGGAATGGCTGCGTGATCTGGTGTTGCCATGTGTGTACAGAGATGCAGGTTTGCTACGTGATGCTGCGAAACGCAATGTAACGACTGCATGAATGTTGCATGGGCTTTGTTTTGGGGAGGAAGCCGGAGCACGAAACCTTGCGATTTTCCGTGTAACGTGGCTGCAGCCGGCGATGAAAGGTACCTTGTGTGTGCGGCGTGTGTGGCTGCGGTCGTTTTGGTTCCTCCCCTGTGTTCTGCAACGAGTGGGTGTTCCTGTGTGCGTAGTTCTATGCATTTCTTGAACCTGTTGTTGCAGATCGCATTGGAATGGCTGCATGATTGTTGTCACCTGGTGTTGACATGTGTGTACAGAGACGCAGGTTTGCTACGTGATGCTGCGAAACGCATTGTAATGGCTGCATGAATGTTGCATGGGCTTCGTTTTGGGGAGGAAGCCAGAGCACGAAACCTTGTGTTTTTCCGTGTAAAGTGGCTGCAGCCGGCGATGAAAGGTACCTTGTGTGTGCGGCGGGTGCGGCTGCGGTCGTTTTGGTTCCTCCTCTGTGTTCTGCAACGAGTGGTTGTTGCAGCTCGCATTGGAATGGCTGCATGATTGTTGTCATCTGGTGTTGCCATGCGCGTAGAGAGATGCAGGTTTGCTACGTGATGCTGCGAAACGCATTGTAATGGCTGCATGAATGTTGCATGGGTGTTGGGGAAACCGGAGCACGAAACCTTGTGTTTTTCAGTGTAAAGTGGCTGCAGCCGGCGATGAAAGGTACCTTGTGTGTGCGGCGGGTGTGGCTGCGGTGCATTTTGGTTCTGCTCCCCTGCGCGTAGAGAGATGCAGGTTTGCTACGTGATGCTGCGAAACGCATTGTAATGGCTGCATGAATGTTGCATGGGTGTTGGGGAAACCGGAGCACGAAACCTTGTGTGTGTAAAGTGGCTGCAGCCGGCGATGAAAGGTACCTTGTGTGTGCGGCGGGTGTGGCTGCGGTCATTTTGGTTCCTCCCCTGTGTTCTGCAACGAGTGGGTGTTCCTGTGTGCGTAGTTCTATGCGTTTCTTGAATCTGCGGTTACAGATTGCATTGGAATGGCTGCATGATTGTTGTCATCTGGTATTGCCATGTGTGTAGGGAGATGCAGGTTTGCTACGTGATGCTGCGAAACACAATGTCATGGCTGCATGAATGTTGCTGTGTGTAAAAGCTTGCTGTGTAAAAGCTTGCTGTGTAAAAGCTTGCTGTGTGGTGATGCATTCTTTGTGTAGCAAAAGCTTGCCGTGTGTAAAAGCTTGCTCTATTGAAAAGCTTGCTGTGTGTCAAAGCTAGATGTGTTTTGGGACGTGTTGTGTGCAACCTTTCTAGTACAAAGAAGTACTGGCAAGTTTTCTGCGCAAGCTTTGTAGTACAAAGTAGAACTGGGAAGTGCTTTGTGCAAGCTTTGTAGTACAAAGTAGTACATGGAAGTGCTTTGTGCAAGCTTTGCAGTACAAAGTAGTACTGGGAAGTGCCTTGTGCAAGCTTTGTAGAACTGGGAAATGCTTTGTGCAAGCTTTGTACTACAAAGTAGTACTGGGAAGTGCTTTGTGCAAGCTTCGCAGTACAAAGTAGTACTGGGAAGTACTCTGTGCAAGCTCTGCAGTACAAAGTAGTACTGGGAAGTGCTTTGTGCAAGCTTTGTAGTACAAAGAATTTTGTAAAGGCTTTTCTGTGTAAATGCATCTGCGTCTCAAGCGTCAGTGTGCAAAAGTTTCTGCGCCCAATCGTTTTTTTGTGCAAGAGACTTCTCTCTGACAGTAAGAGCTTTCTGGCGTGCAGAACAGCTGAGATGAGTTGAGACGAACTTCGAGGAGATACATTGATCAGTGCTCGGATGAGGTGAAAACAGCTGAGAAGAACTTACTTAGATGACATGTGAGAAGAGATGCGATGAGATGAGAAGAGCTGAGATGAGGTGAGATGAGGTGAGAAGAGTTGAGATGAGGTGAGATGAGGTGAGAAGAGCTCTCATGATCTGAGATGAGATGACGTCTGGAGTGTGAAGTGCAAGTGTGAAGTGTGAAGAGTGCAGTGTGAAGTATGAGGAAAGTTTTTGCTTGGCGTTGCATTGCGCCGGGGTTGTGCGCAGGTCATGTTCTTGGACAACATCTGCGCAACAGCTTCGCACAAAGCATGCACGCACGGGCCTGGATGGCGCACAGAGTATGCAAATTCTATACATGAAAAAGGTCTTATAGTATATCCCTAAGGCCAACTTCCGCCCCGCCTTGTGCGGGTACTACTGGTAGATTTTATAGATGTTCATAGGAAAAGAGCGCCACTGTATCATGGTTTATCTATCTTCATGGCAGTTTCCTTTTATCTCTGTTTGTGATGGATTACCAGAAGTACCGCACAAGGCGGTGGCGGAAGTTTCAAAAATAGGAAACCTATAGGGGAGGTTCGCTGTTGTGAATCACGGATGGCAGAGCAAATCCACTGATGGACCGACAGGTGGTTGGAGTTGTGTTTTTTGACAGTGGTCACCTTACCACAACTGCTGGATGTAGTGTGGTGTAGTGCAGTTGTAGTTGCAGTTGTAGCTGTAGTTCTAGTGTAGTGTAGTGTAGTGGAGCTGTAGCTGTGATCTAGTGTAATTAATTAGCGCATTTGCAAGCGCAATTGCAGTTGTAGTCGTGGTGTGGTGTAATTAGCGTAGTGTAGTGCAGCGTAATGTCGTGTAGTGTTGTGTCGTGTAGTGTGGTATAGTGTAGCGTAGTCTAGTGTAAGGTAGTGTAGTTGTAGCTGTAGTGTAGTGTAGTGTAATTAGTGTAGTGTAGTGTAGTATAGTGTAGTGTAGTGTAGTGTAATTAGTGTAATTAGTGTAATTAGTGTAACTAGTGTAATTAGTGTCATTAGTGTCATTAGTGTCATTAGTGTCATTAGTGTCATTAGTGTCATTAGTGTCATTAGTGTCATTGGTGTCATTAGTGTCAGTAGTGTCATTAGTGTCATTAGTGTCATTAGTGTCATTAGTGTCATTAGTGTCATTAGTGTCATTAGTGTCATTAGTGTCATTAGTGTAATTAGTGTAATTAGTGTAATTAGTGTAGTGTAGTGTAGTGTAATGTAGTGTAGTGTAGTGTAGCGTAGTGTAATGTAGTGGTAGTTGCAGTTGCAGCTGCAGTTGTAGTTGTAGCGTAGTGCAATGTAATCAGTGTAGCGTAGTGTTGTGTAATGTAGTGTGGTTGTAATTGTAGTTGTATTTGTAGTTGTAGCGTGCTGCAGTGTAATTAGTGTAGCGCAGTGCAGTTGTAATTGTAGTTGTAGTTGTGGTAGTAGTTGCTGTGGCAGTTTTTAGTGTGATTGGTGTAATGTAGCGTAATTAGATGTAATTAGTGTAGTGTAGTGTAGTGCAATTAGTGTAGTGTAATGTAGCGTAGTATTTGTAGTTGTGGCAGTAGTGTCGTGTCGTGTCGTGTCGTGTCGTGTCGTGTCGTGTCGTGTCGTGTCGTGTCGTGTCGTGTCGTGTCGTGTCGTGTCGTGTAGTGTAGTGTAGTGTAGTGTAGTGTAGTGTAGTGTAGTGTAGTGTCGTTCGTGTCGTGTCGTGTCGTGTCGTGTCGTGTTCCCGTGTCGTGTAGTGTCGTGTCGTGTCGTGTCGTGTCGTGTCGTGTGCGTGTCGTGTCTTGTCGTGTCGTGTCTGTCGTGTCGTGTCTTGTCTGTCGGTGGGTGGCGTGGTGGGGGCGTGGTGGGGGGTGGTGGGGGGGTGGTTGGGGGTTGGTGGGGGTGGTGGGGGTGGTGGTGGGGTGTTGTGGGTGGTGGTAGTGGTATGGTTATTGTTGTTCTTGTTGTTGTTCTTGTTCTTGTTCTTGTTCTTGTTCTTCTTGTTGTTGTTGTTGTTGCTGTTGTTGTTGTTGCTGTAGTTGCTGTAGTTGCTGTAGTTGCTGTAGTTGCTGTAGTTGCTGTAGTTGCTGTAGTTGTTGTAGTTGTAGTTGCCTATCTATCTATCTATCTATCTATCTATCTTCTATCTGTTTGTCTGCCTGTCTGTCTGTCTAACTGTCTGTCTGTCTGTCTACCTGCAAGCTTGAAAACGCAGCAATTCTCTGAGACTTCCTCAGTTTTTGAACTTGACGACACCAAAAACGTAAAAAATCTGCGAGGCGTCCTCATTTTTTGAACTTGACAACATCAAAAAGGAAGCAATTCTGCGAGACTTCCTCAATTTTCGAAGTTGACAACAACAAAAACGAAACAATTCTGCGAGACTTCCTTCAAACATTGAAAGTTGAGTGCAGAGCTGGCGGCCTCGTACCAATGCGTTTTGCGATTTTTCCACTCCACCTGTCTAAAGTAATGCGCCTGCCACGAAAAAGTGATGCCAGGTCATACGAAGTGCTGCACCTGAAGATCTGATGCTCCAAAATGCAGCCCCTCTTAGGAAATCAGCGCCCGGACCTCCTAACAGCTCTGATGAACATGTCTCTTGTACTGCGCCTGCCACGGAAAATGCATCTTTGCAGATCCTCTTCAAATGCCCCACGCCTGCCATCGTTTTTGGAAATGCTACAAAATCCTCACGTTTTGCTAACTTTTGACAAGGTGCAAAATCCCTTGCGCCTGCCACGCGAAACGACATCTGAACGTCCAAAAGTGGACTGAACATGTAGTGTTTTTAACATGTTGACCTCGAAATTTGCTTTGCGATAACAAAGGCGTGCACTTTTTCGACATCCCGACTTCCAAAAGCGGTCTGAACATGGTGTGTTTTGTACATTTTGACTTGGGCATGTGCTTCGCGCCACAATGGCGTGCACTTTTTCGACATCTCTTCCAAAAGTGCTCCGAACGTGAGGTGCCTTTGGCTTTTTCACTTGCAAATGTGCTTCGCGCCACAACGGCGTGCATTTTTTCGACATCGCAACTTCTAAAAGTGTTCCGAACGTGAGGTGTTTTGTACATTTTGACTTGGACATGTGCTTCGCGCCACAGCGGCGTGCAATTTTTCATCTCTCATCTGGCCAGCTGGCTCCGCACCCGCCGCTTTAGCGAGCCTACTTTTCGACCCTCCGGAGCCACAAATCAATGGAAAAACACAGTGTTCGCGACTTTCCTACCTTTGCACGCACCTGGATCTTCTTTCTTCTGAGACTCTCTCTTCTTTGATCTTCCTTCTTCTTCTCTTCTCTTCTCTGACTCTTCCCATCTCTGCTTTTCATCTGCCCATATTGTCGGAAGTTTGACTTCCAAACTTCCTTCGATGATTGTCACCAATCTATTAGATATAATGGGGCCCGAAGTAGTCATCAACCAAGCTGGGAGTTTGACATCGGCCTCGAAACAAGGCCAGGATGGACTTCAAACTGCAGGACATCTGCCCAGCAGAAAGGATGCTGTTGCAAATAGGCCACATAGTCTCTGATCAACGGCACATCCAAACCTTCCACGTCCATCTTCAGCAATCCGATCCGGCATGCTCCATGCGTATCTAGAAGCGTGTGAAGAGATATCGCCGGAACCCATTTTGAAACCATCAGGTGAGACAAGCGCCGCTTTTCAAGATAATTAGCTGCAAATGGATGGGGCTCACCCATTCGGGTCATGCCGGCAAAAAAGGATGGTAGATCAAAATGGGAGATGTTCTCTGGAGGAATGTAGAAAGCTTTCACCCGTCGCGATGTCTGCGTGCGTTCAGCCTCAGGAAGCACAGCAGCATTGATCAGCTTGCTGTGTGGACGGCAGGCAGCATATTTCTTCCTCAACTCCTCGACATAAAGCGGCAGAGCCTCCACACTCAGACCTTTTTGCTCAGGTGGCTGAATTTCAATCAAGGTCTCCCAATTGCAGAGCCCAATCTCCATATAGTGATAGTACTGATACCGAGACCTGCTGTCGCCATCGCCAAGACTATCTGCCAACACCCATGCCAGCAGCAGAAACGATGTTCGAATCATCGCCGGCCGTTTCTGGGAAGGGTGTGGGCCCAAGTTGAAAATAGATGATTATTGTTGAAGAAGCTCCCCTGCACTTGGTAGATTGTGGTTTCCAAGTTTGAGGATATTTCAGCAAATTCCCAACCTTGCAGGTTCTAAGTTCAAACCATTAATATCAAAATGCAGTCTGAATCGTACAATCGCGTTTTGATTTTGACCTAGCAACCTGTGCTATCTCACCAAATGCTACCCAAATTCTATCCCATGTCTTCTGTCTTCCCATGTCTTGATTGCAACCAGACTGAAGAGTGACAGTGTTGGCAAGCCCCTTTGCAGGTGACATGCTTCACGAACGGCGAAGAGATCATAGATGACCATGATACTATACTCCACTGATTTCAAATGATCATCAATGTTACCAGCCAACGAGAGATTCAGACTTCGGAGTTATCAAGTTCGGCGAAATTGCTGGATTGAGAAAAATAAATGTCCCACAATCCCACACTATATATTTGATGGTACCCGCTGCAGGACCATGTTAGAGACTGCCTTCTCTTGAAATGGATCTGTTTCAAATTTGCGAAAGCTACGGTACCATCTTGAAATCTGCGCCCGAGCATCGAGGATTTAAAGAAAGTCATGAAGTGTCATGAATCAGAAGCCCTGGTGTGGCTCTGGGGCTCTGGGCCAATTGGCTGAACACAGTGAACAATCCAAAATCTGTGTCTCTGCCATGACTTTTTGACCCATGCCCAATGCAAAATCTCCCGTGCAGGGAGGTCGGTGCGCCTTTCAGATGCTCACCAGTGGCTGAGAAACTGTGATGAAAAAACAAATCTGGTGTGACTGAAACATGCATCAAAATCAATATATATATATATATATGTATATCAATATGTATATATATATATGTATATCAATATGTATATATATATATATATGTATAAATATATATATATATACAGTATATATTATTGTGTATATATAGATTGATGATCTGTTCGACTCCAACTACCGGAATTCTGTCGCGAAATCAGCTCCAACATGACAGTAGACTTGCTGAGTTGTCGCTAAACTGTGAGCCTTGAGAAGCATCTGGGCGAAGGTGTGGTGATTTTGGCATCTGTGGCTATGCCCCAAAGTGTGTTAGATCATCAAGATCTCTGGCAATAAGTTATATGATTTATCTTATATGGGTCTATTACAAAACTGTTTGGACACCCGAAGTCAAGTATTTTGATACATGTTGATTGTTTATATCATGACATTTCAAGCTAGAAAAGGATGGTATTTTTATCGAAAAGTCGGCGTCTCTCCCCCGATGTTGACCGAAGTTTTGCACCAGCCTGTCGAGGTCTGTATCCACCCAACCGTAGCGATTCTTCTTGCTATTTGGAAAAGCCTGACGACAAGTCCCACCTAATATGTTGGACAGCCAAAAAGAACATGGGCTAAATGGTCGAAATTCTTGGAAGAAATTCATTCATAACTGAACATCACTATGACAGATTATTATAGATCAATAATATATTTGTATACAGATTGCTCTAGATTACTATGGGTTACTATATATTACCACAATACATTACAATAGACATTATAGTTACTGTAATATTCTAATATAATATATATTACAGTAATTGCCATCGATTGCCTCGAAGTCCTGCTTGTAAGACGGATGCATGAAGATAAATCGCTTCTCACCAGCGATCATGCAATTGATGTTGTCCTGTGCTGCCCGTTGGGCAACGTTGCGCAACATGAAGCTATGACATTGCATGATGATCAAATGCCAACAAAAAATGAAACACGGTTTCCCAAAAAGCTAGCCCAGACCAGTGCGATTTCAGTGCGGATTGGCTGTGGAACAACTGTCTAAGTAGCAAAACCTTTCCCCGTCCTGGTCATCGTAGTGGACCTGGTGTTCCCATTGAGTTTACCGTCAGGCACAAAAGCCAGATCTTGATCATATCAGTTTTGTCTCAAAGCTACAGACAGCGTTTTTTCATGACTTTTTTTCATCGTTTCCTCAGCACTCTGCCCTTGCCGAGGTCCAACGCGGCGTGCCAAAGTCTGCAAGTTGCCTTGAACATCCTCCACTCGTAACCAACTCACAACGTTGGCCAAGCTGAATTTGCTGACAGCACTGGAACTTCCCAGTCTCACGCTCACCACATTGTCATCTCCCAACTTGGCTCTAAAGCGTTGCAATAGAGCATCCTCATGCGAAGAGTCAACATCATCTTTTCCATCAAATCCATGTGCTCCCCCCAGCAACAAATAGATGGTCTGTGGCTCCTCGCAACTCGCAGATCGCGAAGACAGGAGATCTTGGTACTGCACCGCTCGTCGGGTGCTGAAGGCGATCGCCTTGGCGCCAGCTGTCTCCGCCAACATGGCGTCCACTGCTTCCAGCTGCCTTCGCCTCGCCTCGGCCCCGCAGGCCCCGCCACAGCCGTCCCTGTGCCACTCAAGGCCCCTGGACGGCGAGGGCGGCGGCGAATGCAGGGAGCGCCAGAGGGTTTCTTCGAAGGCTTTGAAGGTGGCAGGTTGGTATTGAGCTTTTCCGTCCTTGTACCCAACGATGGGCATCACCTGCTCTTGCACCGCTCCGGAGATATGCACTACATCGGCTCCAACGAAGGCTGAAGCAAAGATATCCCTGGGCCATTCACCATCCACCATTACACTCTTCAGCAGGCCATCTAAGATCACATCCCAGCGATTTTGCAGACTCCCTTGCTGAAGGGTCCAGCCGCTAGCACCCTCAGAGTCGCCCTGGAAGATGCAGAAGTGTAGCCGCGCACGGCCCCTCATTGGCCCTGCGCAGCGGATTTGTGGAGGACTGGCCAGTTGCAACCGTCGATGCCGAAGGTCAACTTCTGCCACTTCAAAGGCTCGTTGCAGCGCATCGTAGCCGATCCCGTCCAGCTGCAGCTTTGCTGCGCGCATCGACCAAAGCAACGCTTCAGCAACCTGCCAATTGCCACCACTCTTCTCGGCTGCAGTGATGGCTGCTGAGTAGGACACCAGGTCCGGTGACATCTGAAGTTGTTCCATGTCACCCAACAGCGCCACAGCCATCTCCCACTGATGTCCCTTGGCGCATGCGCTGATGGCCGTGTTCACCAACAGCACATTCCCCCGGTGACCCAGACCCAGAAGGATGAGGCAGTCCTGCCACCTCCCCACCGCCGCACAGCTCCTCATCGCTGCGCTCCGCAGCCCTGCGTCCTGTTCCGCGGCGCTGCACGCACGGCTGGCCGAGGCCAGGAGCGCCAAGGCCACAGACCAGGCCGAGGCCTCCTCAGTTGCACTGATACTACTGGTGAAACTGATCAAGTTTGGCGTCAGCCTCGAAGCTCTGGCCACATCCAGCAGGCACAAGGCCGCCTGCCACTGGCCACCCTTGGCACATGCATTGATGGCAGTGTTATACACCACCAGGTTTTGCTGCATGCTGGCACCCCACAGCATCTGCAAGGCTAATTCCCACTGCTCTCCACGCGCACATGCACTGATCGCTGCTCCCAGGATCACACCACTCAATTCCTCCTTGCGTTGACGCAACTCGCCCACCAAATCAAGAGCCTCTTCCCACTTGCCACCCTTTTCTCTTGCAGACATGACAGCACCGAGAGTCACTATGCTGGGCTTTGCCATTGCCACTCGCATCTCTTCGAAGAGAGTTTCTGCGGCCCACAGAGCATCGCTGCAGGCGCTGATGGCGGCATTGTAGCTGATGGTGTCCGTGCGAAGTTTCCCTCCTTCCATGGATCGCAACAAGGCCAGCGCCACGGGCCACCTTTTCGCTTTGTCGCAGGCGCTAATCGCTGACGACCAGGACACTTGGTCTGCCAGCTTCAGCGAAATCAGCTCCTGTAGCAGCGCCACTGCTGCCTGCCACTCAGCACCACAGCTGCTGATTGCAGCTGTCCAGCAGATTGAATCCACCTCTCTGCCAGAGGCCCTAAAGTCCTCAAGCAAGCAGAGCACCTGAGGCCATCTGCCATCTCTTCGCAGTGCTTTGATGGCCCTGCAGCAGTCCCGACCGCTGGCCGCAAGCGCGCTGCTGTGGCGGCAGCCGGCGCCGTTGATCATTGCTCGGCTATAAAACCTACGAAATGTCTTTGCCCACTTGTTTTACCCTTGGGTTAATTCTGGATTATCACTGCCATGGTGAGTATATTTTAGTTTGACTTTCAGAGCAATAATGATCGGCATCAATATCTACCACGATGCGTCACCGGAGATTGAAACTGCTGAAGGATGAAGAACGGAGAAAAGGTCCTTTTCTTGCCACAAGGCTGACATGCACGGGTGTACCACAGTGATCTAGCCACTTCTGTTCAACAGCACTCACCTCCGCTTTCTCAGGCTGGGACCACGGACTTGCTACCTCCCCGGCCCATCCAGAAATTGTGGGTGTCGAGAAAGTTCAAATACCTCGCCAAACAGCAAACAGGGGCTGGAAGCCCATCTCAGAGCGCTCTGAGAACAGCACCCTCCGCAGGTCATGCAGGGGAGAAACTGCACCTCCTTCATCATCTTCTTTGGGACCTTGGAGGAACTTCATGGAACTTCAGCCTAAACTTTGTTACAACATGTTACAACCCTACAAAAAATACATGTCAATGGATAAAATTGAGTTGGATTGTTGGAGTTTATCCAAATGGTCAAAGATTCCCCGGCTCTGGGAGATCTGAAATTTTGACACTTGTCCAGTTGCTACAGCTGCCCGTTATTCCAAGGCATCGCCAACTTGGAACCTGCTCAGCTTGATCTTCTCAGTTTAGGTTTCCGGACGCTAGAGACCATGTAGATGTCGGAGTTGTTGTACCTGAAACATGTCTTGAAACAATGGATTTGCACCTTGCAGGTAGTCCAATGTGCACCGTTTCCCAGGGCCCAGGGGTCACGCTTTCAGGAAATCCCTGAAGGTCTCCATACCGTCCACCTGCAAGGGCCACCATCGCCATCAGTGATCCGTGTGATCCTACCCAAAATGGAAGGTGTACCACCCCCTTGTACAAGTACAGTATACACAGATGAACCTGGCCTGGCCACCAGCACGGGTTTCTTTCAAATTATGTTCCACGCCCGTCACGCGCTCAGAACCAAACCTGCTTCAGATTTGAAGCGTTTCACAGAAGCGCTGGAGAGCTTTTCTGGGAACGACACGAGAAATCAACAAGAAACAGACTTCGATCAAACATCACCAAGCCAATTTTCGCAAAAGGAGACAATGCAACCAAAGCAAAGCTGGCCCAACTCAGCTTGCGGACCTCCGAAGAAGGTCATCATCATTGGTCCAGTCAATGGCCTTCCATCCACTGGCGGCGCCTCTAAAAATCACTGGCCTCCAGGGGGTCGCAACAAAATGCCACCCTCAACAGGTCCAGGTGTGCTATGCACATGTCCATGTCACCCAATGGCCTTCCATATCCACCATCTGCAGTGGAATACCTTTCCAGTTGCTTGGGATGGACACTGTGCTCAGAACACTTTTCAAGGGCTCGTTTTCATCAGCAGCTCAGTTTACATTTTAAATCGGGCTCCAATCACTACCAGATAGGATCACGCTGTGCTCACTCCTTTGCGGGGCACGTTTTGAAGAACTCCTCAGGTGTGGGGACATCGCTTCTCTCCTGCACTGCAGCGGTCAAGTTGCTCTTGGCTCTGACCGTCAACTCTGACCAAGGATAGTAGCAACGCTTTCCGTATATCATGAGTATCATCTACCGAAACGACTGTCAAAAGCTCCAGATCCATTCAGATTCCATGAATTTCTATGAAGCACCCAGGTCACCTCAGACTTTTCCAACCTTTGAAATTGTTCCTTTTTGATGCGAGAATTTGAAGCTCGCTACTTGGAGTGCATTTTGCACCACAAGGATCATCAGGGCCACAGCAACATACTGCACCCTGGACAACATTTACACGCCCACAGCAATGCTGAAGTGTTCTTTGACTCTTCATCCCCAAGGCCAAAAACTGCTTTTTGAGGGTGACTTCACTTCATTACCTGTGGTCAAAGATTTGAAAAACCTATCCACGGCGCTGCCACAGTCAAAGATCACCGTCAGCTGCGGGTCTTAGCTTCCCAGCCCCTCACAGCTCTACATCCCCTGGCGGAGTAGCACTAGCTGTCATCCAAACTGAAAGTTGAGGGTATAACACGCGGTGTAAAAAGGTGTATTTCCATGTATTTCTGCTACCTGGGGACCTTCCAACATCCCTTTACCCCTGAATTTCCCACATGGGACGAGGTTGAGCGCTCCATTTTATGCCTCTGCGCCTTGCGCGCAGCGCCGCGGCACATTTGCAGCTAGCAAGGGCTTCATGAGCCGAAGTCAACCCAAACTTCTTCACCAAAGACTAGCATATGCGCTACTGACAAAGGGCATGTGCAGTGTAGTTGACTGTACTGTTCAAATCTATCCAGGGCAATTATGCTTAAAACTAACATGTGATCTGCACTCTTGGTGAAGGGTTTTCTCAAATAGGGCTGGTGCGAATTCGAGCAGAAGCCACTCTGCTTCTGCTCACTGCAACTCGAACTACGCAAATTGGTGACTCCTGATCAGCAAGAAACATCCAAAAACAGCTAGTGATGTCCATGAAAACCTCCAAAAATGACCCGCCACGAGATCCGGAGCCACTCGACATTTAAAAGTCACGACTGCTTTCAGCCCGCCGAGGGAGCGTCCGTCCATGCAACCAGAGTTGCCAGTGCCCCCGGCGCTCGATTTCAGCGAAACCATATGGGGTGGTTCCTAAGTCATGGGGGTACCCCAGATCCAAAATTAGACCATTTTAGGTATTGAAACCCATGGTTTTGGGCAACCCCCATTTTAAGAAACCCCCATAGAGTTTTCCATCTTTTCTGGAGGATGTCTGCAATATCATCCAGGTCAGGTTTCAATTGCTGGTGTGTTGAAAGCTGTGGGGTGCAGCATAAGCATCAGTCACCATCAATGCCCTTCAAGTCAAGATTCCAGTATTACTTGAAAGTCCTAGAGTCGAGGCTAGACGTTGCAGACTGCCTGGAAAGGGAACTTCCCAAAAGGAACAAAGGAACAGAACCCTTAAAGAGAAGGACTAAATATGACAAAATCCATCAAAATCCACTACTGTACTGCCTGGAAATGGATCCTCCAAACTGGACATGCTCAGGGCATGTAAATCAGCATTCGATCAGTGATGCTGCCGCGGCAAATTGGGCACGTGCTTCGTTCCCCATAGCTGTGCCTCAGTGGATACTAGGTTTGCGAATGCATCCTGATATCGGCACAATACCTCATAGAATCATACCCCCCAAACGTCCAACATGTTAAGATGCCATTCACAAATCCTGAGCAAGTTTCAGCTTGCGTCCCAGGAGCTTGCTACAGAAGCTGCAAAGAGCCAAATGTTTGCAGGGCAGACAAACCACCTGCCCGGGCCACAAAATCTGCGCACAGGTGAACCAATGATGCTGGTTCGCTGGTAGAGCCAAACTGAGAGCGTCACATTTGCCAGATTCTCCATGCAAATTACCTCGGCTCCAAGGAGTCACCTCTTCCAATTCTTCCTGCCATACGTCAAAACCCTGCACCCCTGGTGAACCTCAAAATCGCTGGGATTTATGGATGTCCATCACCCCAAATAAAAATATTTGTTGAATAACAGTATTGATCCATGACATATATCAATCTACTTCTCGATTCGACCCTAGCACCGAAGGTCTCAAAGCCGTGGCCAAGCCACGCAAGCAGCAGCCGGACTCCTTCGAGACTTCTCTTCCTCTAAGCCCTGGTGCTGGTTGAGGTGAGGACTTGATGATTTCATCAACATTTTATCCAACGACAGCATGTTCGTCCGGAAAATGGTATCATAGTCTTATCATAGTCCACTTCTCGCAAGAATGATGAGGAATGGGTGTTGATCAAGAACTTCGATAGAGGAGAAGAATTTCCGAAAGTGTCCCAGTGCGTGAGAGTGGATCGTGACCCCAGTTGCCCCCAGTTTAGCACCTTGATCCGCGCTTGAAGTTCCATGTTTTCGGAGTTCAAGGCATCCTGGACAAGGTGACAAAAACCGATGATTCGGCGATGTTTAAATGATGATGGAATAGGATTGACAGCAATAACCAGCAACAAAACATTGTTTTTTATCATGTTTAATCAACCAATATTCAATAATATTCATATAGATATACTTCAGTGACTTCCAGTATGGATATGGGCAAGTCATTGGAGTGCCACTGGACCCATGGCATCCATTTTGGAGGGTTCATTGATGATTTTTGACCCATACCCCTACCATCAATCCATATCAATCCCTGAAAACAAGAAACTTCCCCCTGGAAACTCTAGTTGAAAAAGGCAGATCGTCCCATTTCTGGGTGCATCAGTGGAGAAGATTTGACCAGCACCCCATTTTCGCCTTCAGCATCAATAGCGCTGCTAGCTGCTGGTGGAGCCCTGTGATCTCCAAATCGCGACCTTCACCGATGGCATAACTTCTGTGAGAGTCCTGGCGACAAAAAGTCGCAAACCCATTGCGGAGCAGTATATAGCCAGTCATGGATGCCCTGTAACAAAGAAGAGCTGCTTAGGTTAGTTATGTATGTATATGTACATTGAATATATATATATATACCTATATAACTATATAACTATATAACTATATAACTATATAACTATATAACCATATAACTATATAACTATATAACTATATAACTACAGTATATACAATACTGTTTTCCCCATCATCGCAAAAGATTAAAGTACCATCGAGTACTAAAGTAGTCATCAAGTCGGTTTACCCCAGCTTTGTCTCCTCGAAGAGCTTCTGATACTGCAGCTTTTGTGCTTCCACGTTCCGCAGCCGAGCTTCGATGCTCTCCACCTGCCAATCAGTTTTGCCACGAAGGAAACCCTAAAGTAACACGGCAAGTCAGAGCTTTCTGAATTTGATTTGGAACTGAATGGACACTCTGGCATTCCGAGCTCTGCCCAATTTGCCAAAGGTCTGTTCCGCACAAAGCGGCATCTGCACCTGCTGTTGCAAGTGGCGTTTCTGCTTTCGCAAATTCTCCATGTTCTTCCGCAGGTAGAGATTCTCCTTGACACAGGCAACAGCGGAACCTTAAGTCAAAGACACCACAACATGAAGCAGCAAGATTTGTCTCCTTAATTCATCTTAATTCAATTCTTCTGTTAATGAACATACGTACGATTCAGATGGTCTTGAAGCGAAATCTACCGGAAATCTGGACATTTCCATGTGTTTTCCCACAAAAACTGGTGTTTGTTCCAACCCAAAAACTCCAAAAACTCCGGTTTTTGTCGCCTGTGTGTTGCGGGATTTCCGCTCCTCCGACTTGGACCGAGGCGGCACCGGCACCTGCCTCTTGGGTCGGTCTTGGCGCCGCGCCTACCATGGCTTAACCCATGACTTGGGGATCCCCCATAGTGTGCCCCTAAACCCAAGGGTTAATGAAGAGATCTTTATGAAATGGCTATAATTGGGGGATATTCATGGATATTCCCTATTTTCAGACACACCCATATCTACGGTGTGTTCTTGGAGATGTTGATGGGATATATTGGATCCTATCACGGCTGCCTGCGTCACATCTTCAGCCTCTGGCTCTGCACTAGTGGCCTAGCGCACAAGCGGTGTAAAGACTGGATTCAGCCAGTTGACCAGGGAATGTGGGGATGCGAATATCCATTGTAAACCGTATGTTTCAAGACAGAAGAGGACATCAACTGTTCCAGCTAAATTGTGCACCAAAAATCAACAAAATGCGAGCAGTTGCCACTTAAGCAACCACCAGTAGCATCAGCAGCTCTTTCTGTATATAATCATCCAGGCGACACCACACCGCTGGCACAGTACGCACCTCGCTGCTTTGGCTGTCGGAGAATCCTGAGCTTCCAGTTCCAGGTCCTGGGTGCGTGGTCTATCTGAAAACCCAAAGAGAACAGCAGTTGTGGTTCAAAAATTTCCATCATCCAATAATTACACTAACTTCGTGTTAACCAATTTCCAGAAGAGTTAGAATAGTCATTTTTCAAGACCCAGAGGAAACATCTCGAAACAGTGCAGGTATATTTTGAAACGGAGAGATGAGGGAGTTAGAGTGCAAATGTCCAAAGCCGTGCCTGCGCCCAGGAAAACACTTTGTTGCAGGTCCTTTCGGCAATCCCAACACCAGAATGTTCGTCGAAATGAAGGGAAATGAACGGTGACAAAGAAGTTGCACCGTTGAAACCAACAGGAAACCGATAGATCTTGGAAGCGACTACAGTGACTACAGCAACTCACAACCGATGGCCCCAAGATTCCCTCAAAAAGAACCCAGAAAAAAGGGAAGCCAAAGCAGCAAAACATCTTTGGAAGGCCAACAAGGTCTTTTTCGTCTCTATGTCTCTCTGCACGCATTGCAGCAGATTGGCAAAGCACATGTCGAAGCCCAACTGGCTTTGGCCCGGTTTTTTTTTCTTCATTGCCTTTTGCACACTTTTGACGCCATGAAAAGATTCCATGCCATGGCCCATGGCCAAGACAATGCTCAGAGCCATGGCCGGCTGGTGTGGCACCAAACATGTTGGATGTCGTCGCTGACGCTGAAGGCAATAGGCATGGCATATGCAGACGGACACCTGGGACTCGTATGGGACACGTCTCACTCCATTCCTTGGAGTTACAGGATGTTACAGGCATCAAGTTAGGAGTACTCGACCAACATCACCGGTGTGCTGGCCATGAAATCACTCCCAGTGGAGAACTGCTTTGGTTCAGCCTTGAGTTTCTTGTGCCCAGTACAGAGATCGCTTTGGCTTTCACTCGCGTCATAGAAGAACTGTCGCTCTTTTGTGATTTTTGTGGGTCCTTTAGGTTTGCCATCTTTGCCTTCAGCTCCGCGGCCATCCTGGGCTCGCCGCTGACACAGCTGCCTCGGCTTCGCATTCCCAGGATCCCATGGCACTGGTGACCACGTGGCTTGGTATCATTCAGGATGCCATGCTTCAGATATCAACTCATCCATAGCTTTCAGGGTTTCAAGGCCAGTCCCCTTGATGCTCACCAAATGTTCCTGTGAGTCAGGATCATCTGCTTCAGAATCCTTCGGATTGATGCGAATCAGCTTTGCATTCGCCCCTCCTTCCAGTAAGACTTGCAGAATCTGCTCCGAAGTCTGTCGGACAGTGGGAACACGTCCCCCTGCACCAATTTCCAACAAGACGCAACGCAGGCCAGTTCCTTCAGCCACCAACTCACCCAGGACCTGCATCCAGTGCTTCCAGCGGGTCAGTTGCTGCTGCGAATCCAACCAATCGCGATCGCCCCATTCACCGAACATCAGCACCGCCGGTCGTGCCGCTGCGCCGCACCGGGCACACTTGGGGTGGTTGCCTCCGGTTGATGAAGCCAAACCACAATCATGGATCAGCAACTTCGAGAACCTCCTTTTCCAAAGAAATCATCAAACTAGAGCCCAAATTTAAAATACTGACATACCTTTCAAATCCTTTCAACAAACAAATATGAAATATGACAATATGACAACCCAGCTTCCACTGAAGCTCTTAGCCACCAAATGGGCAGGTGTCTGCGTTTCCGGCATATGTCGCAGGGTGGTGCTTCGCATCTTCCCACGCACCGCGCCCACTGTGCAAGGCATCACTGGGTCAGCATTGCTGCTGGCATCACCACCACCAGAGGGACCTAATCGGATGAGTTTAGGGTAGTTTTGACCCCCAGATATTGGTTATCCATGGTTATCCTGCAAAGTTTAAAAAATCGACTCTGGGATTGTCAAAAATACTCAAAAATCCGGTTAAAAATGTGTTGAATATTGGATCTTGGCGGATGGGATTGCTGGGAAAACCCAACCGGGATAGTCTCTAAATTTGGAACCCAAAGTCTATCACTGTCCCCATTCAAGTGGCCATTTTGGAGGTGACAAAACCCAAATTTGGACTGTTAAGAATGGGAAAAAATGAACTGTCAAGTTGATTTAAATTAGTGAGTATCTCCCTTTAAGGATAACATCTTAAAATCTTGAGGTGACTTCAACTCAATTTTTTTATCAGTGCCAACAAAACTTCAGAGGATTTGCGCCTGCCAACGCCAACATACTCTGTGGATCCACAGAGAAGCGAAAGTCCATGGGTGCCCTCCAAATGCCTGGCCCACACCTGGCCCGTCCAAAGGAGCATTGGTACAGCTCCACATTTCCATGGCATTCGCGGAGCTCATTGGGTAAAAACCAGTCGTAGTGGTGGCCATCGACGTTGGACGTGAAGATGTAAAACGCCCCGGCGTGGCCCGACACTTCGAAGGCTTCCGCTGGGATGGCATCGAAGGACTTGTAGCCCGAGGGGCCCTCGGTGCTCTTCTCCAGCATGGACCTGCACCAGCCGCGGGAAAAAGGGATGTTTGGCTTCCGTTGGACATTCCCTGTGAGTTGGAGAAACAGTAATATTCTGTGCATATACATATAGATATATATATATATATTCCCATAAGATATACACATTATAAATGAATAAATATGTGCAGAGAAAGAGAGAGAGAGAGAGATATTATTATTATTACTATTATTATTACTATTATTATTACTAATATTATCACTATTATTGTTATTGTTATTGTTATTATTATTACTACTACATACCTTACATTGTGACATAAAAAAGGCGGCTAGAGAACGCAAATGCAGTGAATTGATTGTCCCCTGTTTTTATCCCAGTCGCCCTGTCAGTCCCCACCTGATTTGCTGCGCGATCTGCGAGTCACGGTAGTGGAACTTCTCCACCCAGCGATTCAGGATCTCATAGCCCTCATGCGGAGCGGTTTTCCTGGCATGAAAACCGTGAAATTGTCATTGGATTGAAGGGAAAATCTACAGAAAACCATGGTTTTTACCATTCAATTTAGGGGTTTCTTGTAAATGTTCCCTTAAACCAATCCAATGAAAGTTGCAGGAAATCCATGTATCTTACTATTTTATACTATTTTCCTAAAATGGGAGGGTAAGTTCAACCGCAAGCTTTTCCATGATTCACTTCTGGGAATGATTGTTCTCATGGTGGTTGCATATGAGAACTCCAGGTAGATGTGATTTTTGAAAACGGCGACCCATCCCAGTATGGAGATTCAGGGTCCGGCAGTGCCTGGTTCCACTGAAATGGCGGGGTGACCAGGGTGACCCTAATCACTAAGCAAACAAACATCTGAATAATTGATGGATTTTTGCAACTGCACAGGCCTGCAAACACCCAGGATACCAAAAATAGTTGCGCTGTTGTACACATATCAAATGGATTGGCAAACTGAAGTCTACAACTTTGATGTTTCAACTGTGGTTCTGGTGAGCAAGCCGCACCTGTAGTCATTGAAGCACTGACCCCAGAAGCCCCAGAAGAGTGGAGGCTCCTGGTGGACCAGCTTCGGATCGCAAAGGTCCATGTAATCGAGACATCGATCCTGATAGGCTTTCACCTGGCGGGTCATCTATGGATTCTCCCAAAATGACCTCAAGATATAGGGGAGTTTCATAAGTCATACCCCTCATCCAAAACTAGATCCATTTCAGTAGTTAAATAATGTTAAATATGTTCAAATCCACTGGGGTACCACCATTTTAGGAAACCCCCATATCTCCATTTCGAGCCATCGAACGACCCTCCGTTCCGAACGGTGAATCCCTTCGGAAGCTTCACCGGCCTCACCTTGGCCACATCATCGTACACAGCCAGTCCACTGTCAGCCGAAAAGCCAGCTCCTCGAGAAATGACATGCTGATCATCTGATAATTGGGGACTTTTGCAATTACTGGTCTACTTGAAAGATATCTTTAGCTTCTCAATTCAGTTGCTGTACCTCAGTCACATCAAAGTGACTTTAGTGACTCGGATGCAAGATGGAAAGTGAACCTTCACCATATAGTGCCTTTAGTTTGGGGTTTTCCCAAAGTTTCCCAAGGTCATCGCCACGGCATACCTGTCAAGAGCAGAAGCACTTGCCCTTCGGCGATGAGCTTGGCAGCAACTGCCAGGGCATCCCGATCCATGGCACCGGGCACCGGACGGGGACGCGAGCCAAGATGGGAGCTGCGTAAGTTGCCAGGCGGGGTTCAACCAGCGAAAAATGGTGGGAAAGTCACAATTGGAGGATTTTTGTTGTTTCTAATTTCGACAGTCCGAGTCCAAGCGAAGTCTTCAAGTCACAGAATCGTGAAGGTTCAGTGCTCCTCATCTTGCTTTGCACGAGCTGCAGCTGCCTTCATCAGCATTGGAGGTGGCCGGGGAAGAGTGGCAGTTTTCCTGATCGGGCGAGAGAAGGCAGAGTAAGAGAATGGTTCGGATCTACAGCAACCCCCCAAGAAAAGGAAAAAGTAAAATCCTACGAAAAATGCAAAAATTGCAGTGATTCACTCTTCTTCATTGGGGTTTCCTACACAACTACACAGTGGTGATAAGGATGAACATCGTCACCGGTCCATCCCATCATTTCCGCCAAGGCACTCTGGCGCAAAGCTCTGGGTCATCCTGGCCCGGGCAATGTTTGGTCGTTCCCCACAGAATCCATTCACCATCCCCTGGACAGTCATCACCTGGGCCCCCCCACCGGGGTTCCATGGATTTTTCCACCTCCTTTTCCAGCTGATGCAACAACAACTGCTCAGGCCGAAGGCCTGTGCTGTTCCGTGCCTGAGGGCGAGCCGACTGGGTTCGGGTCACCCTGTATGCTGAGTTTCAAGGTTTCCCAACCCCCCCAAAAAAAGAAGCTATGAATTAACTGTTTGTCACAGAATAGTAATTGGAATCATATTATAAGTTGCTGAGGATCTGTATAGGGGGTTTGAACACTGTTCACTTCTAATCCCATTCCCCTAACACCAACACTCCCTCAATGGTCCCTTAAATATGTGGTGTCATCCCCTATTAAACCATGGGATTACCATGGGATTACCGTGGAAAAACCACCGGATTTGGCCATGGCGCTCCGTTCTCTGCTGTGTCCTCCTGTTCCGCAGGGCGGCTGACAGGCCGATAGCTTGGCCGTTCCACTGCTTGATCGATGGGTCGCTCCACTGGTCCTATGCCAGCTGGGTTTCTCTCCAAGCCACCCAGGGAACCAACCATCCAACCAATCAACTTTGGATCTAAAACCAGGAATGAATCCACTAACTTGTGGCTCAGGTGAACCAGCTCTTCAATAGTGGCGCCACTGCTGAAAAATGAAAATTGAAGATGAACAGCTCAGGTGATATTCGAGTTTTGCCATGCTCCATGTTTTTAGGACCATCAATTGAGTTGATTTCATCCAGGTATCACATGTATCCCATGACGGGATGGGTTCAGCGACCACTTCCTGGTACCTCCTGCAGTCATCCCCTGCATCATAAATGGTTGTATTCTTCATCTGTATCATGTCGCATGTAGTCAATCCATCCCAATCCCAATCCAAATCCTATATCCCCATGATCCTCGCGGACTGCGGGACACTGAAAACCCTACCCTGCCTGTGAAGGTATTGATCCATCCCGATATTATGGAAAATTAGCCAGCCTACAGCCAATGGCTATATCCTCTATTGTTATATGTCGAATCGACGGGATATGACATTGTTGCTTAGTGAATATATATATATATATATTATATTAATATATATATATATATTATTAAAATATATATATATATTCTATTAATATTTATATATATATCGGATTGCATTATATCCCAAATCATACTACCTAATATCTAGATGATTGTACGTACAGAAATACAGCCAAATTTACCACTAGTTACAGGCTAGGGGCCCCAAACAGCTAAGTTGCCTTGTAAGTGGCTTAACTGGCTCAATGGTTTATGGTAGATATACGCATAACTATAGGTTTTGTTGCAGGACATATGGCAGTGTGTCAAAACCTTGTACCCCTGGTGAACATCAAAATAGCTGGTAAATGGATGTTCATCCCCCTAAAAATGGTATTAATAGGTATTGATCCATACCCATATCCTGCTACTCCCCTCCTGCGGAGCGCAGCACCGCGGTCTGCGGCACCACGGGCACCGGCAGCGGCACCGGCAGCGGCGCCGCGGGTGCTGGCAGCGGCACACCGGGCGTGGGCGAGGAGCGAGGCCACACCACGGGCCTCGGAGCTTTTTGGAAGCTGAAGGTGTGGGAAAACGTGGGAAAGCCCGAGGATCATCTTGGAATCATCTTGGAATCACCTTAGAATCATCTTGATGAATCACTTTACAATCACCTTGGAATTACCTTAGAATCACCTTGGAATCACCTTAGAATCACCTTACTTAATGCATCATCTTGATGAATCTGAATAGGGAATAGGTCTTTTCAGCCTATATCAGAAAATTTACCACAATACCTGAGACAAGGGTGGAAACCGATCCTTGAATTTGTGAGAATAAGCCAAAAGCAAGTGAGAAACAAGGTGGCATAGCAGAAGACCCTCCTTACCTGCAAACCACCATCCAGACCCTTCCACAGACCAGTCACGGCCCTGCAAAAGACCCACATGGCGCAGTCATTGGCGTCGGTGGGGCGAAGAGCCTCTCAAGTAGAATGGGTCTATCCATGTCTATCCACAAATAAAAAAAGGGGCCTTGACCCTTCGCTTCTCCTCTCCTGCAATCGACTATGAAATGGTGGTTTGGGACACCAACATCAACTTGAAGATCCAAGTCATCCTGTCTGTGGCACGATGGAGTCCCCCCCAAACGCTGCCTGGGCGGGCCACAACGGCTGGTCGTAACTTTGGACACAGGACTGGTGACCTCAGAGGACAAGAGGAGCAGGACTGGTGAATTTGCCGTTTGGAATGTGGTGATGGATCAAAGCCTATTATCTATGTTTACCATCAAATATAAACATGGATAAACATGGATAAATATCTGTAATTACCATGTTTCTCCATGTTTAGCCATGTTTGGGGTGGAAAAACATCCATTTACCAGCTATTTTGCGGTTGCCAAGGTGTCCTATCTCCGGTGTCCAATCCTTCGCAGCTCCGAGCCCCCGAGTCCCCAAACCACGCAAGCAATGGGCGCTTGAGCCATGGACATGGCGAGGCTTTGCGGAGGCTTTGCTCCGTGACGGAGGCAGCTGGATGCCACTGGGCGGCTGTACAACCACTTTTTGGGGGGGAGCTTAGGCTGTTCATACCGACTTCAGTGCTTAGAATGTCGCCTCTGGTCGCACCATGAAACCTCTGAGCCTTTTCGAAACGATGGCGGGAATTGTCCAAACGATGCTCAATGAAAGTCCATCGGCTGTGACATGGTATCGCCCAGCAGCCAACTTGGAGAATGCAGCTGGCAGTGTCATTCCCAATGGCCTCCACATGAAGCAACGATCAGATCAACCTTTCTTGCCTTTCTTCCTGGCGAGCGGGCTCTGGTTGAGATAAATGATTGGTCCTTCAACATCTTAGAGGATGCTGCTCCCACCCATCTTTGGGTATACAAACCCCCAAATACGAATAACTAAACAGATCAAACATCCATCATGGCACCTTCATGACGGTCTCACCCATCAGACATAATAATCATTGACAGGTCATGCCAGTCCATGCCACGTCATATAAACAGTCATGAAATGATGTCATGCCGTGAACTATTGATGCCATATCATGTCATGTCATACCATGTCATGTGAATGTGCCATGCCATGCAATGCCTCTTGTTGCGCTTGAGGGCGTACTTGGCATTGATGGCCTTGCCGCTCACCTCCTGCGGATCACTGGTTGACTAGGGACTCAACAGATCTGATTTCTGTGATTTCTCAGCCATGTCTCACAATTTCATCTGATTTCTCAGGTAAGGAAACATGTTTCATGGTTTCACGCGCCCACAAGTGTCAAGCCTCCTCGTCGCTGGGCTCCAGAACATCATCTGCCTCCCGACTGCCGAGGCAACTGCAGATACTGCATTCTGAGAAAACTGGTCCAAATGCTGAGGAAAAAATATAGAAAAGTATCACTCTGGCAGGTTGTTCTTGAAAGGCTTGAGTTCTTTTTGATCGGAACTGCCAGACTTGAGTGTGCTGAATCTGTCTGACTCAAGGTCAAGTCCATCTCCCCAAAACAATCTTATCCAGTTGCCAGCCTCTTCTTCCTCATCACCACTTTCCTGCATCAACAAGTCACATGCAGCGAAGTGGCTGAAAAAACATGGCTCACACGCTGCAACTTCCGCCTTGCTGTTGATCCTCTTCAACCTTGACCTCATCCCAAATCCAAGTCATAGCTTCGCTGAACATGGGCACGTGCGGCACATGGCATATCACTGACCGCATCTGGAATCTCCAACGCTGGAAACTCAGTTCAGAATTCCGCATCTCAGCTGAATTTCCGCGACACAAAAAGATCGAAAAGTCACAGATTGAGCGCCGCGGCTCGAACTGCGAGGCCGTGATTTTCCCTTTCCGCAGCTTCTTGGCCAAGGTCTCCTGAAAGATCATGGAATCTGATCAGAGCCAGGAGAGCCATGGGGACGTCGCATTGCCGATCAACGAGATCTGTCCTCTTTGGCCAGGCTCTCCCACGTCTCCTCGCGCTCATTTCTCTTGGCTTGCCGCTTCTGTGTCCTCACAAGGCATGCAACATGTCCATCCCAAAAGTGGCGAAACGGGCATGCAAAATGCAACCATTCAGTGGGCAAACAGCACCCATCACGAATGAAACTGGGGTGCACAGTTCGGGCATTTCTCTCCTGGTTCGATTCTTTTCTGCCTTGGCCGCATCCTGAAACAGAGAGCAGGATAGAAGCTCGAAGACATAGAGAAATTGTCCCCAGGTTGAACTGCTGACACATACAGTAAGTTGAGTTCACATCCGGAAACAACATGCTGAACTACAAAAATGATGCTCAAATATAAGCAATGTGTCAAGGGAACTATTGAGATTCTCAATCCCATCAACTCCAGCTGGACACCTTGGCTGCTTGCTTCTGCTTCAGCAGCTGTGCTTTCTTCTCCTCCTCCTGCTGAAAAAAACTGTTCCAGTGGCTGGGAAATCCCTCCATATGGAGGTAGCCACATGGCAACCAGCCTGATCCTGAAAAAATCTTAGGTCGGCAGATTTCTGATCCAAATTTTGGGGCGTCCTTGTTCTTTTCCCGCTCTTCCAGGTCCTTTGCCAACTTCTCCTGGAAACTGGGATCCATCCATTGGTTTTTTGCCAAAAAAATGGGGGATTTTGGGGAGGGACATCCCTCACATCCCTGATATCGGCATGGCGGGGCAGAGCCTTCCGTTGCTTCTCTTGCTTCTTGCTCTTGAAAGGGACTGATGCAGGATCCACCTGGTGCAGGATCGAGATGACCCAACTGTCAACTCGATTTTGGCCACAAAGATATCTCCAACATCTGGGGATCTAACCTGTCCAAGACCCTTCCAAACTCCAAGATTCATGGCATTGGGTTGCTTAGATACTTGTCACATCGTTTCAGGCCTGGCTTTGCTGGAAGCCCTTCACCTGCTTCCCCAGGATCTCTTTGATTCGTGGTAGTCTCAGCAAGGCATAGCCCGTGGCCAAATTGCCCAGGTCCAAATCCTTGAACGGAAAGAGGAAGGGCAGCTGATGTTCCTCCAGGGTGGACACGCTGAAGGCATCCATTCGTTCCGTGGCATCTGGGGCTTTGGAGGGGTGGGACACACCCGCAAGTACTGTTCTCTACATCCGCTGCCCGTTGCTGAATGAAGCAAAGTTAGTTGTACAGTACATGGTTTTTGACTAGTGAAAGTTGCAGTTTTTGTTGGTTGTTTGGAAGGCCAAGCGCGAAACTGTTTGGAGGCATTTGAATCCAGTCATATTCCAATGGCTTCTTCGCGGCTGTGCACACACTTCTGTTGATGCATCCTTGGGCTTTCGGTGCGCACATGGATTTGCCTTGCAGAAGATGGCTCGGGAACTGCAATGCCGGATCTCTGCCACGCAGCAAATGCGGCTGCCAAAAGGCACATGTCTCATGCGTTCTTCAATTCTAGCGGCAGCAGCCTGTTGAATTAGTGCCATAAGATATGGGTTTGTCTGAAAGTAGCGTGCCCTAAATCAACTGGTTAATGATCATATTCCCAGATATGTTTCCTTGCAAGACAGCACGAAGTCCGCTTCATGTGCTGAGGAACGGAAAAAAAAAGATATGTTCTCTATGAAGATTGCAGTTTGGGGGTATACTGTACCAGTATACCCCATGTTGGACATTTCCATCAACCCTGCCTGATAGGCCCTCACAAATGACAAGAAGGCCTTGGTGGATTTCAACATCACCGCACGGTCAGTTTCCACCACTCGTTTACACCTCTTCAGAGTGCTACTGGCAGTCTCTTCATCCACCCTGAGCTCATCTGGAAGCTCCTCCAGTTGAATGCCTCGTTTCTCCAGAAAGGGAAGATATCCATCCTCATGTGGCAGCAGTAACACCACTGCCCTGCCACTCTGTCCAGCCCGCGCTGTGCGACCAATCCGATGGACAAAAGCAGCCGGATCCGTGGGGGGATCTACTTGCACGATCCACTGAACAGCTTCCACGTCGATGCCACGCGCTGCGACATCTGTGGCGAGCAAAACAGCTCCTTCCTCTGGAGGGCTCTTGCAGAATTTCTCGTAGGCCCGCGATCTCGCTGTAGGATCCATTTGGCCATGCAGTTTTTCGATTCGAATCACATCGGGTTTCTTGTTGCCCTTCTTGCTAGCTCGTCGAAGATCGATTAAATCGCGCAAGAGCACGTGGAAGTAATCCACAGTGGCACAGGTCAGGAAAAAAACAATAGTTTTGCCATTTCGCACCTCGGGCACCTGCAAAAAGTGCCGTAAGAAGCCGAAGCGCTCTGTAGCAGGCAGTTGCAGAAAATAATTGCTCAACTTGGTCGGCAACTCATGACTCACCAGTGGTTTCTTCTCCTCTTCCACACTTCCATCTGCAATGGCTTCTGGTTGTTTTTTCCTCACTTTCAAAGCCTGGTTCCCTTCCCCAGCATCCCCAGGGCGTTTCAGCCTGACGCAGACGTGCACCGGGTTCCGCATGCCGGTCTTCATGATCCGTTGCAGCTCCGTGGTGAGCGTGGCACTGAAGAGCCCCGTGCGGCGCTGCTTGGGCACGGCCGCAAGGATGGCCTGGATGTCCATGGCGAAGCCCAACTTCAACAGACTGTCGGCCTGCCAAAGCAACAATTGATTGGAAAAAGGATGAAAAAGGATGAAAAAGCTGAGGTTTTTGTTGATTTGACAAACAACCCTGAAACCATAGAACTTTGACACATTTCAGGTACCCTTATTATAGGAACATGTCAGCATATGTCAGCATCATGAATGGTGATTGTGACAGCAGGGTCATCTGTAGCTTTGTGATGGTCCCTTCAAACAGCCCTGACCTCATCAAAAACCAGCAGCTCCAAGCTTTTCCTGAGGCCATACAGCAGCTCTGTTAAAGCTGCCAATAGCTCCCATATGAAGACCAAGTGGAACTCCAATCATCCCCAAAATCCAAAACAAACAACTCTCAATTTATGTAGAACCACTGAGTACATCAAAACCAAACAACAACATCCACATTAGTTGCTGAAATGTTCAGCAGTGTAATTCTTCTAAAAATTTCCCCAGTTTATCCAACACCCAGTAAAAAAATGCCATTATTTATAGAGGATTTTCCCATTTGGATACCCATAGGATCCTAAATCTTCACCCCCTCGAAATATTTCGAAGTGTCATCCTCATCCCAACCCGAAGCCCAAAAAATCCATCACCAACATCCCAAAAAAAAACATAAAAATCCATACTAACTCCATCCCAAGTGTCATCAAAACCATATAAGAACCCATTAAAACCCATGTAAAACCCATAAACATGCCATTAAACCACATTAAATCCATCCAATGTGTTATGTTCATCCCATCAAAACCCATTCAACATCCCTTCAACATCCCTTCAACATCCCTTCAACATCCATTCATCCCCTTAAACCAAGTAAAAACTCATAGTCAACCCATTTTTATAACCCTTCAAAACATGCCATTCAACCACAGTAAACCATCCCAAATCTCCCAAGTCTCAAAACCCATAGAAAACCCATGCCATCCCATGATCAACATTTCACCCATGTTTCACCCTAAAATCATCCAATCCAGTGGATCTTTGGATCCCAAGTGGATCCCAAGTGGATCCCAAGCTGGTAAATGGATGTTCATCCCACTAAAAATGGTATTAATAGGTATTGATCCATACCCAAGTGTCATGTTCAGCGGTGTTTCCTCCAAGGCCAACAACGCCCGCAGCCGCCCCGGTGTGGCCGCCACCAGGTGCAGCGGCACCGGCGCCGCCTCCTGCGCTGCGAGGCGCCGGAGCGCCGCCGCGGCGCCCTTGGCGTCGGAGCCGCCCACGCATAGCTGGCGGCTCAGCCTGAAGTCATGGGGATTTACTGGGGGAGATATCCCAATTTTATAGTTATACAGTTATACATATGCATATAGCCTATATATATATACATATGTATGTATATATGTATATGTGAATGTACATGTATATGATATACATGTATATGATATATGTATATGTATATGTATATGTATATGTATATGTATGTGTGTATGTGTATGTGTGTATGTGTGTATGTGTGTATGTGTATGTGTATGTATGTTGGTTTATAGTCGAAAATCAGCGTTTTTGTTCTTCGTGATATATATATATATACTAGGTTGCTGGGTTTATAAACCAGCATGTATAATAACTATAATGTATCATTCTCTTCAGTATCACTATCAACTATGGTATAACTATACTTAATAGTTATGACTTATGACATCTTATGACCAACTATTGCTACCATCACCAACTAGTATTCTAATGGTTAGATTAGGGGAATATAGATAAGAAAAATGGTGATTGAATTGAATGAAACTTGATGGGATTTCGTTGGCTAAGTTGGTTATTACCATGATATATTAATCACTGGTGACATCAGGAGTAGTTAAAAGTTATTACCCAGAAATTACCTGGGAAATCAAATGGTAAACTCTTGGATAATAACATATTCTAACAAGCTATTGCCTATCAATAACCATATGTTTGATCATATGACCAACCATTGGTACTTGGATGATCAGATTCGAAAAATATTGCTACTCTGGTACAGAAAACTTCAAAAACACGTCCCGTTCTTGAGAGTCGGAAACTATTCGATGCCCGACTTTCACTTTTTTTCACAACGAGTCTTCAGACGGCCTTTCGCAGAGCTCCACCTTGGCGGATTTCAAGTAGAGCCCAAAGACCTCATAGATCTGCGTGGCCAATTCCCTGGTGGGTGCGATGATGGCGGCCCCCACCATGAGTTGCAGGCTGCCAGGGCGGCGGCTCACGCCCTCCGACAGGGCGCGGCACATGATCTCGAAAGTGGGGATCAAGAAGGCCAAGGTCTTCCCTGAGCCCGTGCAGGCCTGGCCATTAGACTCATTGGACCATGATGACCATGGGAAAAGCCCTTGGAAAACATGGAAATTTGGGGAACCAACTGTTGGGCATCATGTTCAGATGGAATTTGGGGGACCAACTTTGAATTAAGCCACATCTTTCTGACAAAAAAGAGGGGACCTGGGAAATCTCCGTCACAAACAAACACAGCTCGCCTCCACCGCGACGTCTCGTTGCTTCAGCAACAGGGGGATGGTGATGGCTTGCACTGGCGTCATCCGCTTGAAGCCCATCTGCGCAATGAAGCGCTGTGTGCCCTGCAGCGACACGAGGTGTAAGACGACCATCTCATACCATGTGATACCATGAGATGATTCAATTTAAATCTGTTCCGAAAGCGTTGGGAAACTGACCTGTCAAATGGGGTCCCGAATGTTCCAGGGCAGATCCATCTCAATAAGACTCAACTGAGTCAGGGAATGCATTCGACACTGCTCATGCACCTCTGACACCTCTAAAACGGACCAGTCTCTGGAGCTTGACATGATGCCGCTTTGCGCCAGAGGCTGTCAGTGGAGATGGGAATAAGAGGGGCAAAGCTGTTGGAGTGAAAGATGCTGATATCTGACATCTCAAAAGCTATCACTATGTCTGTCCAATATGTGTATCTATGTGTATCTATGTATGCAATATATAATCTAATATTATATATATATTATATATACTGTATATTCTCTCCTTTGTAGCTGATGTATTGCAAAGTCACGTCATTGAAGTGTAAGACTTGAATCCTTTGCGTCCTCCACGCTTGCTGGTGATGTTTTTTTCTCTGTCAATGTGCTGGGAACAGTTTCTTCCACGGGCGAAATCAAATTGGTCAGCCGGGAAAATGTCCATTTGACGCTCAGCTTACCTTTGATCCAGAAAGATGAAGCCGGAAGGCTGTGCCTTTTACAGACCGGCGTCCGATGCCAGTGAGCTCTGCGATCTTTGCAGAAACCCCCATGATCTTGATATGGCCAACTGGTTCGTAAAGATCAAAAGAAGATATCATTCCTAATTCCAAGCGGAGTTTTCCAACTTTCCAACTTTCCAATCATTGGAACAGTCACAGGGATGACATCACATAACTTCTTCGTCTCAGGCCTTCAAATGGAATGTTAGTTGTCTCAGTGAAATGCCCATGGGCCAAAAATCTCCAAAAATCAGGAGCCAAAATCGCAACTTTCGCGACATCAACTGTCGAAACCTGTCATGATTCCACCAGGCGCATGAGTTTTTCTCCTCCACAGCCTCCCCCGGTGCCCAACTTCCAAAGGGCTCCAGGTGTCCCAGAGGGACCTGAGACGGCAAGCTGGATGTTTGACGATGGAACCGGGTATTTCTCTGGAAAAAAATCTACATTTGAAAAATGGAGAAGAAACTCAAAAAAAACTATGAATAAGTCGTTTTGATTACTCTGTTCATAAATGGAACAAATGATGTTTTTTTCGGCCATGAAGCATGACCTGAAAAGGCCACAATATTTTGAGGCTTGCACCTCATCAGCCCATCCCTTGCGTCACAAGAGAGACGTGCTGGGTTGTGCTGGGAAGCGGGGCGGTTATGACATGTAGACCTAAGAGATAAGTATTCATTATTCTTCTATATCAGTACAATTTAAAGAAACATCCAACATGAATCTTCAGAATCTTCCTGGTTTTTTGATGTTTTTTGGATGATTTTGGGGGTAAATCATTTAAGGGAAACCGTCCATTCACGTCATACCATGGTCCCCATAATTGCTGCCACGGCCTGTCGATTCGGATCCCACCTGGCCAAAGAGAAGAGCCAAAATTCGCGCCATCCACCAGAGGTCAGTTTTTTCGGCGGCAGAAAATGGATGTCCTTTTTTGGATGGAAATGGATAAAGTGCTTCAGCGAAATTTGAAATATGTTCGATGTTAAATGATGTTAAGTATGTATAAGTATGTGCGTATGCATCTAAATCATATCTGACATGATCATTCCAATGGCATTGCACGGCTCAACTTGATAGACATGAACCAACTTGCACATGGGGCTGGGGCTCTGCAAATACTGGCGCAGCGCCCAAGCTGCTGCAAGCTCTGCCTCTTGTGCTTTCACGTGCTCCGCCGCGTCAGAAGCTTAAAGACGGCTGGACAAGTTGAATGAATTTCATGAATCTTCGAATTTTCATTGTCCAACATTGTCCAACTTCAACTATCTTCAACTAATTCCCAAACTCAAGTCTCAGTCAACACCCTGCCCACACAGGCACGCCCTTTTCAATCCTGGTTCTCCAGGGCATCTGAGTCGCTTTGTTCCCATCGTCATCTACTGGACCTTCCAACGTGTCCACCAGGGTCAGGTCATCCTCTCGAACATCCCTTCGTCAGCACAACGTGTCCACCAGGCTTTCTCGATCTCAGCCGGGCATCTCGTTGAAAGCACCCACCTGGGAGAGGTTTCGGAAAATCATGGGCTTTGCAACTCATTGGTTCATCAACATGACATGGGAGATGACATAAAAATCCTCAACGAGGGCGACCACCTCTCCCATCCTCCAATCTTGGAACGAGACTTCCAGCTGGAATGGCTCAAAAAGGATTGACCTTTGTCGATTGATCCCCTAAGATTGCATTAAATTCCCATTGTACTCGTTGGTTTTAGTGGCTATCCCAATTTTGCATGTTGTGGATATAGTAATAATATGTAATAATAATCTCCAACAAATCCCCATAATATCCCATAATCCCCAATCAACAATCAACAACAATCAACAAGGCTATGTTTCATTGGTCAATTGGATGGTTGCCTCCGAATCTGCCGAGCTGCGCTGGCTGCAAGCCAGCTGCCCAGCCGGCAGTATGGCCACGTCTGGGCTCCAGAGGCGGCACGACTCCTTCATCTGTCGACAAGGGGATGATCGACTGGGATTGTTCACAGCAACCTGACTTTCCTCTTTCAAGGACCTAAACATGATGTCACAATTGATGAAAGCTTGGAAAATGAATACATCACCCTGGGAAATCTCTTCAATCCCTGAAATATGTAGTGTGTAGTGAAGTGTTGTGAAGTGTAGTGGTGCTTGCTATCCTATGAACCTGCTCTTCCGCATGCTCTCCTTCTGGGCATCTGATCTCCCAGTCCAGAGGTCAGCTCCAAAGGGCGTTGCCGGAAACGACTGTTGAGCATCAAGTGACCTGACATGGGCAAATGGATCGAGATGATCTGGGAACAAGCAGGAAATGCGCCAGTGTGGCCGAACTTTTCCACCAGGAACTCCTTTGGATCCTGGGGATACCAGAAAACCTCTGATTCTTGGCAAGTGTTTCAACAAGACCGGTCATACGACTGTCAAAAATCGTTGAATGTCGTAGACTGTCATAAAACGAGTCGAACTGTACATCCAAGCTCAGATCACATTCGCCATGTACAATCCGTACGTCCAAAGAAAGCTTCCTGCTTGGAGGCTGCTTGGTCTTCGGCCTCACCTCAAAGTAGGCAAAATCTGCCGAACTTCAGATTGCCAAACAACTCTTCACAACTATTGGTAGCCGTGTAATTAACTTCTCCAGGTTGTAAGGGAAATTTAGCCTGGACAGCCGGTTGAGCTCGCTGGGCTGCCAGGCGCAAGGCGCGTTCGTCGTCATCCGCTTGCTGCACGTGGAAATCGTACATGTTGGCAGCACCTGGGGCCGACTTCCAGAAAGCTGGCGTCCAAATCGTGGCGACCTGCTGAGTCTGGGACATTCCGCCACTGCCCAAAAGTCTTCCGGATCTCCTTTCTGCAAGTCTTCAAGGGAGCCCATCACCAGAACCTAGCGATGACCATGGACATCCACCCTTCGGACAGCGCATCCTCTAAGTTCCAGGCTGTGTTGGCATCGCCTTCCCACAGCCTCATGCTGCAGTTGGCTGAGACAACAACATCCTTCAAGTTCGACAGTTCGACATTGACTTTCCAGCGGACTTTTTCACCATTTCTCCCAACTTTTCATATCAGACATCCCCCAGCCCCAAACCCCTAAGCCCCCACCATCCCCACCATCCCCACCCTGCAGCGAAGCGGCAAGAGATCCCGCAGCAGTTGGGAGATCCGGGCGTCGCCCTGGGCCTCGCAGGCCTGCAACGGCAAGATCCCATGGGTCCCATCGGTCCCATGGGGATGGTTGGCCAATGGGAAAAAAGATATAGAAAAAGGGTTGAAAATGGGAAAAGATTGAACGAGATTGAAAATATCTACACTGGAATTGAGACACAAGGGAAGTTCAATCACAAAAAGCCAGTCAGAATGGCTTCTGATCTTCGACAGAGCTCCGAACTGTGGAGCCCGTGACCAAGATATCATTCAACAGGAAGGACTTCCTTAGGTTGTTGCAGGAGTCACTCGACTGGTGCAGGATAATGTCACCCATGTGATCCCAAATTGTCATTACAAAAAAATGTGTAACTTAACACTTGTCCAAATAAACTGCTAAATACTGATACTGATACTGATACTTTAATTTAACTTCAAGTTGGTTTGTCTACTAAAGCCATTGGCCAAATCTGAATCCATCAGCCCAGCTTCCCAAGGATGAAGCCGCTGGAGCCCTAGGCGGGTATGTCAAGGTTAGAAATTGCTGGGGACTAATGTGATATATACAATACATATAAATCATATAAAAATATAATATGATATGTGGTTGATATCGCTTAATGATGTATTTATATGTATTTTATGATGATCATTGCTAAATATTGCTAAATGATGATCAGGTGGTCCACCAACAAATTGACCCTTCAATGGTCATGTGAGTCATGTGGGTCTTGGCAACTTTCCATTGTGTCATCGACCCTTGGCACCCGTGACGACAGTCCGCCGCCTCCCAACCAGCCGTGCACAGATAGGTGAGGTCCGGCCAGTTGGAAAGCCTGGAGAAATTGGTGACCGGCTATGCTCAAACTCCCTTGGGTAGAATTAGAACCAAACACCCCCAAGACAAATAGGTGAATGTCCCGAAATACTCCATTCTATGTTGTTCTTGAAATGTTCGGGCGCAAGGGTTTCAACTACCCAGTCTACTCGTTTGTATCTTCTGTCTTTTGACCGCTCCCTCTCACAGGTGCGTGTTGGGCCTCTTGATGCTCGCAAGCACAGACTCCCATTCTGGAGACACCTCACGAGCTGAAGAATATGCAGAAATTGCTATGTGACATGCCAGAAATTGGAGATCTTGTCACATTCAACAATGGCCTTTGCCATAATTTTTAAGGCATTTAAGGTGCTGGTGCTTGGCTTTGACTTATCTCACCACAGGAAAGATTCCATGTCACAGAATTGCACATCTGAGCCTCTGAGGGAAGCCCTGCGGCAGACCTGGAAAGCTTACCGCATCAAAGCTCTGACACTCCCTATGTCTCCAAAATGGGGAGGAGTCCCAACCACTTGTTACCGGCTCTTAGAGTAAAGCAGAATCTTAGATCTTCTGGTTCCCATTTTTTTTCCCAAATGATCCATCCATTGTTGGAGTTGTTGATTATCGCCATTCTTGATGGCTGCTCACTATCTTTAGGTACATCAACTCCAAAACAAGAAAAGTAAAAAGAAACAAAAGAGTAAAAAAAAAAAACACCCCATTGTTGGTACAAGCCTCGAAAAGTACATCTTGGCCCATCCACCAAGTCCAAGGGCCACCACATCCCCTTGGGCCGCCCTACGGTAGCCCAGCTAACGCCAGCACCACACGCCGCCGGAAGGCCCACAGCTTGGTGGAGCGCTTCTGCAGAAGGCACTGGTTGCAATCGTCGCCTAAATCAGCAGGGCCAACTCGGTGCCAATCCTCACCCACCGCCCCCATCAACCACGATCAACTGCAAGTGAGCGGCTCACGTTTCTCGGGCGATTCTCCGGCCACTTGGTCAAGGACCTTGGGGAGCAGTGCGTCAATGATTTGGGCTTGTCTCAGAATGGTTGAGACATCAAAAATGAGTATGTTCACCTTGTAAATATGGGAAAATGAGAACAAACTGTGGCATTTTGGGGTTCCAAATACGAAGCTGGTGATGCTAGGGATCGAACTCGGGGCCCAGATGCATCTCTGTCAGCTCCTGTGGCCGTCACTTTGCGGTGAGTTTTGGATGCTCAAGTCCGCCAACAGGCCCAATTGTGCCCTCTACAAACATCCCATAAGCCCTGCTACAATAACTACCAGATCCAAAATCAATGCAAAGGTGCTCGAAATGATTCGTGGCAGGAGTCCTGAACACCCAACGCAGCTCCCAAGACGAAGCGTTTGATGCCTTTTGAAGCCAGGTGGGCGGAGAACCACATGTCATCCTGGCAGGTTCCCATCGATCCTCACCAAAATAGATTCTAACCCCCCAAAGATGGCATGAGTTTTGTCGTCCTGGTAGCGGCATTGGTAACAGGCTCGGTCATACTGGAAGACTCGTTCGTCGAAGAATCCTCGCTGGTATACCACACCTCGCTGGCATGTCAGAAAAGCAGGATGTTCCAAAACATTGGATTGCACAAGAGAGGATAGGGAAGGATAAAGAGGAGCATGTCGGTCTCAATTCGTGTGATTGAACCAAGTCATCAATGTCTACTATGAATGGATATGAATGGTGCTGGTTGATGGTTCTTGATTCAACAAGACTAAGCATGAAAACATCTTCCAAAAAACGACTGCCGAAGAATTTGATCAAAGACCAGGCACCGAGGTAGCTGACTAAGACGGGCCCTGCAGGAAAACCTTGATCTTGCAGGTACCGGGGTCTCTGGACGCCTGTGGCATCAGGTGATCGAGGACAGAAAAAACATGAAAAAACCACAGGGAAATCATCTAGGTTCCCAATCTGATACACTCTAGGAATCTCTAGGATGTGTGCTAATAAACCGATTAAAAAACTCACAAGGAGCTAGGACACACCATGGCATCTGATTCTCTCTATCTCTAGTGCTTCCAACCAGCCTGAAAACATGGCACGATATGGAGAAATATAACTACACACTGTGTATACATATATTAATACGTAATAATACGTATGTCTATATCATAGATTCGTATTGATATTCATGAATTACAGCATTTAAACCCACCAACCCCAACCAGAAACCCTTCCAAACCAATGTACAGCACTATACCTGGCCTTGGTCCTGCAGTGCGGTGAGTTCCTGCGATTCCAAGATCCCGGGCACCGACAGAAAGCCCTGCGCCGCCACGGCACTGCCGGGGTTCGCCAAGGCGCTGCGCATCAGCTGCTCGATCAGCTGGTGACCTGGTGGCCGTGGTGCATCAACGTTAAGGATTGTTAAGGATGATTCAAACTGTTGAAATGGTTGAGTTTTTCCGGATGAATGGTTGATTTGGATTGATTTGGTTGAGTTTCTTGGTGTTTGCTCGGAGGATATATCGTCACGTTTTTTCCCCAGATAGCTGGCAAGCTATAGGGTTCTTACTTCTCAAAGGTGGGGTCTTCGGTGGCGAACTTTTGAGCCAGGGTGCTGTGCAGGGTGCTGTCCAGACTGCGGTGGCGAAGTCTGGCAAAGGTGCTGTGCAGGGTGCTGTGCAGGGTGTTGTGCAGGGTGCTCAGGGTGCAGACTGCGGTGGCGAAGTCTGGCAAAGGTGCTGTGCAGGGTGCTGTGCAGGGTGCTGTCCAGACTGTGGTGGCGCAGTCTGGCAAGGTGCTGTGCAGGGTGCTGTGCAGGGTGTTGTGTTGTCCAGACTGCGGTGGCGAAGTCTGGCAAAGGTGCTGTGCAGGGTGCTGTGCAGGGTGCTCTGCAGGGGGTTGTCCAGAGTGCGGTGGCGAAGTCTGGCAAAGGTGCTGTGCAGGGTGCTGTGCAGGGTGCTGTGCAGGGTGCTGTGCAGGGTGCTGTTCAGACTGCAGTGGCGAAGTCTGGCCAAGGTGCTGTGCAGGGTGCTGTGCAGAGTGCTGTTCAGACTGCAGTGGCGAAGTCTGGCAAAGGTGCTGTGCAGGGTGCTGTGCAAGGTGCTGTGCAGGGTGCTGTGCAGGATGTTGTCCAGATTGCAGTGGCGAAGTCTGGCAAAATTGCTGTGCAGGGTGCTGTGCAGGGAGCTGTAGTGGCGAAGTCTAGCAAAGGTGCTGTGCAGGGTGCTGTGCAGGGTGCTGTGCAGTGTGCTGTCCAGGCTGCAGTGGCGAAGTCTGGCAAAGGTGCTGTGCAGGGTGCTGTGCAGGGTGCTGTCCAGATGCGGTGGCGAAGTCTGGCAAAGGTGCTGTGCAGGGTGCTGTGCAGGGTGTTTTACACACTGCGGTGGTGAAGTCTGGCAAAGGTGCTGTCCAGACTGCGGTGGCGAAGTCTGGCAAAGGTGCTGTGCAGGGTGCTGTGCAGGGTGCTGTGCAGGGTGCTGTGCAGGGTGCTGTGCAGGGTGCTATGCAGGGTGCTGTCCAGATTGCTGTGGCGAAGTCTGGCAAAGGTGCTGTGCAGGGTGCTGTGCACGCTGCTATCCAGACTGCGGTGGCGAAGTCTCGCAAAGGTGCTGTGCAGGGTGCTGTGAAATTGGTGCTGTGAAATTGGTGCTGTGCAGGGTGCTGTGCAGCATGCTTTGCTTTTGTTCCCATGTTGGGAACCGCCAGTTCCAACCTTTAGGAACCGGAAGTTCTTTGCAATGGTAACCTATGGTTCCCAGGGTGGGAAGCATGAGTTCCAACCTTTGGTAACCGGCAGTTGCTTGCAATGGTAACCCATGGTTCCCAGGTTGGGAACCAGGAGTTCCAACCTCTGGGAACCGGCAGTTCCTTGCAATGGTAACCTGTGGTTCCCACGTTGGCAACAGTGAGTTCCAACCTTTGGAAACCGGCAGTTCCTTGCCATGAACCAAACGCAAACATTCCGGTACCGGTCCATTAAGCAAAACAAAGCGTTCTTTACCGGTCCATTAAGCAAAACCATAAAGTTGTAAAGAAACTGTTTTCATATCATTTTAACATGCACCTTTTTCGTGCAAAAACATTTTTACGCCGGCCCAACAGCCAAACGCAAACATTCCGCTACCGGTCCATTAAGCAAAACAAAAGGTTCTGTTGCCGGCTCAGTAAACAAAACAAAACAACATTAAGAACCATGAGTTCTAACTTTTTGCAATCAACAGATCCTTCCACTGGTAACGTTACTTTTTCAGGCTTGGGACCATGAAGCTTTGGGAACCCGCAGTTCCTTACAATGAAAGCCGCTTAGCTTCGAAAACATAAGTTCTAACCTCTGGGAACCGGCAATTCCTTGCAATGGTAACCTCTGGTTCCCAGGTTGGGACCGTAAGTTTCAAGGTCTGGGAAGCGGCAGTTCCTTGCCATGGTAACCTTTGGTTCCCACGTTGGGAACCATCAGTTCCAACCTTTAGGAAACGGAAGTTCTTTGCAATGGTAACCTATGGTTCCCAGGGTGGGAAGCATGAGTTCCAACCTCTGGTAACCGGCAGTTGCTTGCAATGGTAACCCATGGTTCCCAGGTTGGGAACCAGGAGTTCCAACCTCTGGGAACCGGCAGTTCCTTGCAATGGTAACCTGTGGTTCCCACGTTGGCAACCGTGAGTTCCAACCTTTGGGACCCGGCAGTTCCTTGCCATGAACCAAACGCAAACATTCTGGTACCGGTCCATTAAGCAAAACAAAGCGTTCTTTACCGGTCCATTAAGCAAAACCATAAAGTTGTAAAGAAAATGTTTTCATATCATTTTGACGTGCACCTTTTTCGTGCAAAAGCATTTTTATGCCGGCCCAGCAGCCGAACGCAAACATTCCGCTACCGGTCCATTAAGCAAAACAAAAGGTTCTGTTACCGGCTCAGTAAACAAAACAAAACAACATTAAGAACCATGAGGTCTAACTTTTTGGAATCAACAGATCCTTCCACTGGTAAGGTATGCTTTTTTAGGTTTGGGACCATGAGTTTCAAGCTTTCGCAGCCGGCAATTCCTTACAATGATAGTTGTTTAGCTTCGAAAACATAAATTCTAACTTCTGGGAACCAGGCAATTCCTGGCAACCTCTGGAGTGTACCCTGGTAACCAGGTCAACCGCTCGTCGCTTCCTTGAGATGGAACCCCTTGGTTCCCACGTTGGGAACCATCAGTTCCAACCTTTAGGAAACGGAAGTTCTTTGCAATGGTAACCTATGGTTCCCAGGTTGGGAAGCATGAGTTCCAACCTCTGGTAAGACAGGAACAGTTCCTTGCCATGAACCAAACGCAAACATTCTGGTACCGGTCCATTAAGCAAAACAAAGCGTTCTTTACCGGTCCATTAAGCAAAACCATAAAATTGTAAAGAAACTGTTTTCATATCATTTTGACATGCACCTTTTTCGTGCAAAAACATTTTTATGCCGGCCCAGCAGCCGAACGCAAACATTCCGCTACCGGTCCATTAAGCAAAACAAAAGGTTCTGTTACCGGCTCAGTAAACAAACAAAAGAACATTAAGAACCATGAGGTCTAACTTTTTGCAATCAACAGATCCTTCCACTGGTAACGTTACTTTTTCAGGCTTGGAACCATGAGTTTCAAGCTTTGGGAAACCGCAGTTCCTTACAATGAAAGCCGCTTAGCTTCGAAAACATAAGTTCTAACCTCTGGGAACCGGCAATTCCTTGCAATGGTAACCTCTGGTTCCCAGGTTGGGAACCGTAAGTTTCAAGGTCTGGGAAGCGGCAGTTCCTTGCCATGGTAACCTTTGGTTCCCACGTTGGGAACCATCAGTTCCAACCTTTAGGAAACGGAAGTTCTTTGCAATGGTAACCTATGGTTCCCAGATGGGAACCGGCAGTTGCTTGCAATGGTAACCTCTGGTTCCCAGGTTGGGAACCATGCGTTCCAACCCCTGGGAACCGGCAGTTCCTTGCAATGGTAACCTGTGGTTCCCACGTTGGCAACCGTGAGTTCCAACCTTTGGGAACCGGCAGTTCCTTGCCATGAACCAAACGCAAACATTCCGGTACCGGGCCATTAAGCAAAACAAAGCGTTCTTTACCGGTCCATTAAGCAAAACCATAAAGTTGTAAAGAAACTGTTTTCATATCATTTTAACATGCACCTTTTTCGTGCAAAAACATTTTTATGCCGGCCCAGCAGCCGAACGCAAACATTCCGCTACCGGTCCATTAAGCAAAACAAAAGGTTCTGTTACCGGCTCAGTAAACAAAACAAAAAATCATTAAGAACCATGAGGTCTAACTTTTTGGAATCAACAGATCCTTCCACTGGTAATGTTGCTTTTTCAGGCTTGGAACCATGAGTTTCAAGCTTTGGGACCCCGCAGTTCCTTACAATGAAAGCCGCTTAGCTTCGAAAACATAAATTCTAACTTCTGGGAACCAGCAATTCCTTGCAATGGTAGCCTCTGGTTCCCAGGTTGGGAACCGTAAGTTTCAAGGTCTGGTAACCGGCAGTTGCTTGCAATGGTAACACATGGTTCCCAGGTTGGGAACAAGGAGTTCCAACCTCTGGGAACCGGCAGTTCCTTGCAATGGTAACCTGTGGTTCCCACGTTGGCAACCGTGAGTTCCAACCTTTGGGAACCGGCAGTTCCTTGCCATGGTAACCCATGGTTCCCAGGTTGGGAACCAGGAGTTCAACCTTGGGAACCGGGCAGTTCATTGCAATGGTAACCTGTGGTTTCCCAATGTTGTGGGTCAACCGTGAGTTTTCAACCTTTGGGAACCGGCAGTTCCTTGCCATGAAACAAACGCCAAACATTTCTGGTACCGGTCCATTAAGCAAAACAGGAAAGCGTTCTGCACCGGTCCTTAAGCCAAAACACATTAAATAAGTGTAAAGAAACTGATCATATCATTTTGACATGCACCTTTTTCGTGCAAAACATTTTATGCCGGCCCACCAGCGAACGCAAACAGTTCCGCTACCGGTCCATAAGCAAAAACAAAAGGTTACTATTGTGTCAGGCGCGGGACTCACACGGCGTAGCCAAAAAGCACACATAACAATTAAACTCACTAAGACCGAACATGAATGGAAGGAGGAACAAGAGATGAGGAGTTTTAACTTTTTGGAATCAACAGATCCTTCCGCTGGTAACGTATGCTTTTTCAGGTTTGGAACCATGAGTTTCAAGCTTTGGGAACCCGCAGTTCCTTACAATGATAGCCGCTTAGCTTCGAACACATAAATTCTAACTTCTGGGAACCGGCAATTCCTTGCAATAGCAACCTCTGGTTCCCAGGTCGGGAACCGTAAGGGGTTAAGGTCGGGGAAAAACGCAGTTCGCCCACTGCACCATGGTACCTTTGGTTCGCCACAGTTGGGAACCATCAGCGTTTCCAACCTTTAGGACTTGGAAGTTCTTTGGGCCACCCGCCGCCACAAGCGCACAAACCTATGGTGCCCAGGCGCTGGTGGGAAAGCTATGAGTTCCAACCTCTGGGAACCGGCAGTTGCTTGCAATGGTAACCTCTGGTTCCCAAGTTGGGAACCAGGAGTTCCAACCTCTGGGAACCGGCAGATCCTTGCAATGGTAACCTCTGGTTCCCACGTTGGCAACCGTGAGTTCCAACCTTTGGGAACCGGCAGTTCCTTGCCATGAACCAAACGCAAACATTCCGGTACCGGTCCATTAAGCAAAACAAAGCGTTCTGTACCGGTCCATTAAGCAAAACCATAAAATTGTAAAGAAAATGTTTTCATATCATTTTGACGTGCATCTTTTTCGTGCAAAAACATTTTTATGCCGGCCCAACAGCCAAACGCAAACATTCCGCTACCGTCCATTAAGCAAAACAAAAGGTTCTGTTACCGGCTCAGTAAACAAAACAAAACAACATTAAGAACCATGAGTTCTAACTTTTTGCAATCAACAGATCCTTCCACTGGTAACGTTACTTTTTCAGGCTTGGAACCGTGAGTTTCAAGCTTTAGGAACCTGCAGTTCCTTACAATGAAAGCCGCTTAGCTTCGAAAACATAAATTCTAACTTCTGGGAACCGGCAATTCCTTGCAATGGTAACCTCTGGTTCCCAGGTTGGGAACCGTAAGTTTCAAGGTCTGGGAACCGGCAATTCCTTGCCATGGTAACCTTTGGTTCCCACGTTGGGAACCGCCAGCTCCAACCTTTAGGAACCGGAAGTTCTTTGCAATGGTAACCTATGGTTCCCAGGTTGGGAAGCATGAGTTCCAACCTCTGGGAACCGGCAGTTCCTTGCAATGGTACGTTCTTTACCGGTCCATTAAGCAAAGCCATAAAGTTCTAAAGAAACTGTTTTCATATCATTTTAACATGCACCTTTTTCGTGCAAAAACATTTTTATGCCGGCCCAGCAGCCGAACGCAAACATTCCGCTACCGGTCCATTAAGCAAAACAAAGGGTTCTGTTACCGGCTCAGTGAACAAAACAAAACGACATTAAGAACCATGATTTTTACTTTTTTGGAATCAACAGATCCTTCCACTGGTAATGTATGTTTTTCAGGTTTGGAACCATGAGTTTCAAGCTTTAGGAACCCGCAGTTCCTTACAATGATAGCCGCTTAGCTTCGAAAACATAAATGCTAACTTCTGGGAACCGGCAATTCCTTGCAATGGTAACCTCTGGTTCCCAGGTTGGGAACCGTAAGTTTCAAGGTCTGGGAACCGGCAGTTCCTTGCCATGGTAACCTTTGGTTCCCACGTTGGGAACCATCAGTTCCAACCTTTTCTATCTGGGGTCTATGCCGGCGTAATTTTGAAACACACGTTGGGAGACAACCAACACTCATGGTTGATGCGATCACATGTGTGAAGATGGATGAAAAATGCTTATGACGATCCAATTACAACTTTTCTCCAGCACAAAATCAAAGTGCCCATCCCATTCCCACCATAGATGTGGTCGTCATCCACCACCACCAGGAAGGTCCAGGGATCCTCTTCCAATCGCAGACCATTCAGCAGGTGGGTGCCGGGGCCCAAGTCTTCGCAACGCATGAGACGGATGGGTTTCGCCTGCATCCTGGGTGCAGGGGATGATTTGGAGGATACTAAGAGTGTGCAGTTGTTAATTTTCAGACATTGCTGTATCACCCTTCAGAAGTGCACGTACAAAGGACCGTCTGGAACGAAATCCAGCTTTGGGGTTGGAACGCATCTATGTACTGCTTCCGCCCTTCAGCTTCAACATTTCGACCAATGCAGGGATGACAACAAGCATGAAAAAAACGAGCAAACCCACCCGGAACCAACAAGTCAAGTGTCCACTCTGGGATCTTATAGCTTTCGCCCGTGCGGTTGTACACATAGGGAATGCTCATGTAGATCTCCTGGGCTGCTCCGCTGCAGCAAAGCCAGGCATAGGGTGTTTCGCTTGAAATTGACAACCCTTTGGATGTCCTCACCAAGCTGGGTTTGGTGTCAGGCACCAGAAGCATGTCTTGCTAGTGCTAGTTTCAGTATCCATGTTTTCACTTAATTTGTTGCCGAAGTTATCCATGTTCAAACCCGAGATCCCATTCCCATCCCTTTTCCCATGTTTTTCCTATCCTTTTTCCCATCTCCCATGCTCCATCCATGCCCATCTCCCCATTCTGACCCGCCCACAGGTTCTAACCTGCCAGGGCTCACTGGCAGGCCACGTCTGCCTGAGCATCGAATCGATCACGGGCTCGATGTACTCGATGCGCTTGGGGATAGTGGTCATCAACACCACCACTCCTCGCCATGTTTGGCAACATCTTTATGGGATTTTAACCAGGAAAGATGCTGAATGAATGGGACTTAATATGACTTAATGGGATTTTCACAAACTAGAACTGACAACATACCCTTCGGTGTCATCAAACGTGGCTGGAGAATCCCCGAACTAAAAAATGAAGGGTTCTAGCTGGGAAAATCATGTCCGTATTTACCATTTCTAGACACAAAAATGAATCTTCATTGTGTTGATCCGGATTTACTTGTTTATCTTTTTGGGGATGGCTATATCTGGAAACAGTTTGCTTGTACTTGGAGGATCGCACGAGTCGTAAGTGGGTTGATAAGTGGGGTTACCATGGTATTTTTCAAGGTATTGATCCATGGATATCCATGGCATTTTCCCAAAACTGCAGAACTTTCTCCCCATCCAGGGATGAGATCGAGCTGGGTAGCCCAGAAACTCGTTGCGGTCATGTTTCGATACTGTTCCACGAGTTCTTGGAGATCTCCCGGGTGCATTGCCCTGGGTCTCATGTATGGAATCCATCGATGAAGGTCAGGTTCAGATACCTCAGATTCGCTTAAGAATTCTTGGATTTCTTGCCATGGTTCTGGCCACATCTCAAGGCCGTGGTGTGCCAAATTTGGGAGCACTTCTCAGGTGTCAACCAGAAAGTTTGCAAGCGGCACATCTCTGCCAAGTTGCCATCGCAAGGCCATGAAGGATCTGCAGCAGAGTCAACAGCCATGGCCACCACTGCAGTGTCATGGCGGCAAATTCCCAAAGGAATGAGGGCTATTCGAGGATACCCCACTGGTCTAGATTAAAAACAAATTTCGGAACTCCTTTCGAGTTCTTGTTTTCCAGGGTTCTCTGACTTTTCCGTTCATCTGTGGCTGATGTTACTTTTGGTGTTGAGGCTCACTTGTAAATGTGGGGGAAGCTTGAAGGCGATCGGAAAATGTCGAAAATGTATTTGTCTTACTGTATTTGTCTTTCCATGTCTTTGCTGCTTCCACTTCTTCATACTTTACCCTCTGGTAAACTAACATAACTATGGAAAATCACCATTTTTAATGGGTAAATCCACTATAAATAGCCATTTTCAATAGCTATTTTGACATAACCAGAGGGTATTCTAATTCCAGGAAAAACGAAAGTACGAGTTCCAAGGTTTGTTGAAACATGTGATGGAGCCTGTTCGAACTGGCCTTTCTGGTGCCTCAAAACCTTAGGCCAAAGCTCGGCGGCGCTGTCGCTTGTAGCACAAATTATATTATATTATATTATATTATATTACATTATATTATATTATATTACATTATATTATATTATATTATATTGCATTCTAGAATATTAATGAATATGATCGATCTACATTACTCTAGAGAACCTGTCAGGCACTAAATCAACACAGGTCTTGCAACCGGAAGTTCTTCACCACGACGCCATTTTCCCTGGACGTTGACCTCCTTTCAGTCGATCGCCATAGATCACACTACAGCGCCCCAAAAACTCGTTGCTCCAACATCTTCATGACGAGGTCGTACCAGTGCAGCCAGTGCAGCGCGCAGCGCTTGAATCAGCATTGACAAAGCCTCACCATAAAACGACTGAAATGATGACTGTAAAATACTATGAAAATCTGAAACGTTAGCATTCACAAGCTTGTTAGACCAGGCTCACTGGGTGGGAACGCCCACATCTCCCACATCATCATGATGCCTAGCCTCTGGCCCGGCCAAACAGAGGCCTTACTGGGCCATTGCTGCGAGTTGCGTTTGGCGAAAGGACATGGTCTTAAATGCCGCCAGCACCCGAGACTAGATTTGCCTCCTGGTGGTGCGCATGGCGTGCGAATGCCCAAGTCCCACTGCCGATTGAAAATGGACAACTCAGTCATTGTGAAAGTGTGGAAATCCCTACTAGTTTACTAAGATTACAGCCCTCCAAAAAATTGACCCTTGCAGAGGTCGAAGGTTCGGGGCGCGACCGGGAGCTAGGGCAATCTGTCCAGCCCTAAACTGCTCCGGCTATATGAGCTCATGTCCAAATCTTTCAAGACCTGCAAGGCTTCCAAAGCAATCCAGTAATTCTTTAAGCTTGCAAACCCATTCAAAACCAACATCAACATCAAAATGTCAACCTAAAATAGCAAAATCATAATTGAGTTGTATTGAGGTCAAACATAACTATCTCCTATGCCTTTCGCGATATTCAGACAGCTCATGTCAGTCAAAGATCCTACTGGGGCGGTTCCAGTCGTCGCCACAGGTCTTACACCGCGGGCACGACATGGTGGAGGTCCTGGTCACGTGTTCACACCACATGACGCCAAACACATCCAAGATGGCACCCGATGTTGACGATTGTTGTATGTCGTTCGCATGTGCGGAGATCTTGAACTTCCAGCATCTTTAGAATCTATGGATATCTATAATTATCTGTATATATATATACGTATATATATATATAAATTGATGGAATCTATGGTGGCAAATAACATCAACTGCGGACAAAGTAAGTGCCAACTTTGGAGTTGTGCTTCCACGCGGAAGCTCCAAATGCTTCCAAACTAAGATCGCTTGCACGAATTAATCTCTGACCCGAACCGCCTGTCCCTACAGGCCGTGTGGCAGAGATCCCACACCAAAAGGAGCTGCTCCCGGCTTCGCGCGTGGTTCAAGGCACGGTTCACAGCTGTCGTTTTTTTCGCGGCCCGGTAAAGTGCAGATGCTGAGGTGGGATGGTGATGTGTAGCTTCAAGTTTTAGTTCAAAGCAGAATGGGTAACAAAGAAAAGACCAAACAGAAAAGTTGCGTACCCTTGTCCTGTCTGCCCAGGGCTGTCATTTCTTAAATGGCAAACGCATCGAATTATGGTCATCCGGATCCGTGTCAGAATCCGCAAAATGACCTGCCAATGGATCCAATCCGAAATGGAAAACACTTACCTCACCTCAACCAGCATCAGTTCTCAATCTCCATTTCCCTATCAATCAGCAGAATCAGCATCCTGTTTCACGTCTTGGTCGTCTGTTCCCGTGGATCGATGAGATGCGGACCCGCACTGCAACTACTTGCGGATGCCCTCCTGGCACATTTCCTCGGGACAAAAAGGTGGCTGCATGTCGTTGCTGGACACCCTTGGACGCCCCAGGAGAATTGCCGACCAAAAATGGAAACGTCAGTCGTTCAGTCAGTCAATTGAAATGGTGAAGAAATCCAACAGCTAATAGTGATTAATGGATATTAATGGTGATTAATTAAACACTATTTCATACTATTTCATAATCCAACAGTTCCAACACTTGAAACGTCCACGTGTGACAAAGTGTGAGTAAAAAACTGATCCAACAGCACTGAGGAGTCCAGACTGGCACCCAATGCAATCGACGGGGCATAGCTTCTGGCTTTTCCTCTGGAGTACCTTTGTGAGCAGCACACGTCTTGCAGCTCTTTAGGGATACCTTCCCTTTAATGACTAGCCGGATCCAGTTGGTTTCTCTTGCCGTGATTGACAAACAAAATGTTCTCCAATATTGCAGTATTTCCAGGTCCATGTGCGACTGCTAGATCTGGAGGACATGGGCAATCTAAGTTCCCTTGCAAAGGTAATCATGTTCGCAGAGCGCAGCCAAATCGTCCACCTGAACACCATGAAGAAACGCATCATAGAACTGGGGATACCAACACGACATCATCGGCGTGTTTATTAGGCGTGCTCTATCCACTGAGTTGGACAAGCCTAACAAAAAATCAAGAGTGAACCGGTTGGTCTTCTTGCGCTGACTCTTGGAATGCGTGATGTATTGTTCTAAAGTTCTAAAGGACTTTTTGTGTCTGATGGGATCTGTTGGACGAAAATGAGGCTCGTTGAAATGCAACCTATCCCAGCCAAACTTACGACCTCTCTCGAGCCCAGGGATCACAGGTTGGGAGGTTGAACCCCTCAACGGAAAGTCCCATGGCCTTTGGAGGTGGGGTTCTCTGCAAATCCGCATCCTGGAGCTCATCCCAGCAGGGGAGAGCTCCCAGCAACTTCGCCCACCCATCAAATGGTGCGTGGTTTCATATGAAGGACGCCTACTTCAAAGGCACAATGTGCACATGCTATGTTCAGGATAGCGCACTTTTTCGCCTTAACTTGCAAACTTGCCAGGCTCCCTTCCCTGGACAAGTGGTGCCCTTTGCAGGATATATTAATAAACTCGCGGCTTAGTGACTGTAGAGAATCGATCGAATTCATGGACTTTCTCTAGTCAATCAGCTCTGCAGTACACAACTTTCTGTGGATCTTTGATCAGGATCTATAAGCTCCAAGTCTCTTCATCTCACAAAAGCTAGTTGGTCAGCCTTGCACCTCATGAGCATGCGCACCCCAGGCCTGAGCCCACCTTTGTATGGCCTCCATAAGTGTGGTCCCGAACTCCAATAATGCAACCCAATGGGACAGGTATCGTTTTGCTCCACACGCTGCACAGTATGTCAGGAGTTTTCCACCAACGTCCATGCATATGCTATACCAGCAAGCGTTCTGACATGCTCTGTCCCGTTCGTCTCGATTCTCAATAGCCATCGCGCAGTGACAGTCATAGAGAAAGTAAATGCTCAAAGTCCACCCTATGCAAAGACACGTTCGCGACAGCACTTTCGCAGTAGGTGCAGTCAAAAGCCAAGAGTAATATGAGAAGGTTGCCATAGACAGCACTTCCACCACCAAAAATGGCTTCATGTTGTCTGTCAAGGGTGTGAATAGCTTCAAATATGTCAAATACATGAAACGCATCAGTCCAAGAAAGAAAATAACAAAGGTACAAGAGTCTTCCGTTTCCAAATAAAAAAGTAAGCGGAAGCTGACACTTGTACAATGATACATCAACGTCAAGGTGAAAAGACAGGGCCACAACATCGTTTCAGAGCCCTCCAAGATTCGCACAAGACCCAAAAGTAGAGCAAGCCAATATCCCAATGAGAAAACGGGAATCACGAGGTATTTCAGCAGTCCGCCACAATCAGGTAATCGGTTGAGCAGGGAGCTAAGCACTGATGGTCCTGACAAGACAAAGAAGAGGTACCAAATATACGCTGCAATCCCCCGGAGCAGTTTTCCAATGTCATGCCGCCAGAATGTCAGCCATGTGCTCGAAGACGGCCCCACAATGGGATCCAAGTCATCCCGTACGAAATACAAAGGCAAAATGCAAAAACACATGCACAGAAATACTGAGACAAAAAAGGTCATCTTTTTGTCTCTGCTTTGCTTCGAAGAACTCTTGTCCAAGACAACGCTTGAACACTTCCAATCAGTTGGGAGCTGCTCGGACACGGCCGACGCAGTCTGATCAACTCGCTGCATCATTGCTAACGAAGTTCATTCGCAGCTTGAGATGCACGATGCAGCTGCAGAGAGGAAGCATTAAAGAAAGTTTTACTTCAGTGCAACACATTAAACCGCTACAAAAGCTGCATGGCCAGACATCTACAACCAAACTCTGATTCACACGGGCATCTGGCTTGATGAACTGTGCCGCTCTGAATTCTTATGTAAGGTGACTCCCAGCAGCTTCACCCGCCAACCATCTAAATGGTGAATGGTTTCAACCTACAACCCACTTCGAAGGCACAAACACATGCTATGCTCGGCATTGCGCACATTTTCTCCGAAGCTTGCAGATTTGCCAGGCTCCCTCCCACGCCCTGGGGGCTCCCTGGACAAGTGGTGCCCTTTGCAGGATATATTAATAAACTCGAGGCTTAGTGACTGTAGAGAATGGATTGATTTCATGAACATTCGCAT